AGAGAGAGAGAGAGAGAGACAGAGAGAGAGAGAGAGAGGGGAGGAACATGGGGAAGTCGCGAAACGCAAGGCCCGTGCCCCACACGACAGGGAGCGGCAGACCCGAGAGCTGGTACCAACAGCCCAAGTGGATCTGCAGGCACGCGCATTTAAGCTTTCGGAGCTTATTCAAGAGTCCGTGTGTAGCGTGTCTCGTGGCGAGATTCACGCCAGCGGTACCTCCTAGGAGAATAACCCCAGGTAGGGGTAGGGGCTGGTACATGTAGCCCTGTGCGTGTACGTAGTGGTGGTGCAACTCGGGCTCCCGTAAGTAATGTATCTGTAGCCTGTAGCCTGTAGCCTGTAGTCTGTACCCTGTAGCCTCCTGTGTCGTAGTCCCACCACTGCAGAACTAGCATTGCTAGGAGGTAGTTCCTTGTACTCCTGGCCCTGTGCCAGTGTGCACTAGGACGTACATCGAGTTAGGTAGGCTGTGTGAGTCCACTGCACGCACACGCCCGAAACGGCGCCCAGGCCCAGAGCGACAGGTAGTACGGTACATCCTTAGTAGGCTCCTCTCCCCTCCTTCTACAGTGGTCCAGTGCTCCAGTGCTCCAGTGCTCCTCTTCCTCCTCCTCCTCCTCCTCCTCCTCCTCCTCCTCTTCCTCCTCTTCCTGCCCTATGCACCGCGGGTAGGGGTGCTGTCATCCTGCAGCTGCGCGCGTACGAGACGAGACTCGTGCGAGGAGGGGCCCGGCTCACGCCTCACGCCAGGGACGGACGCTTGATGGCGTTTCTTCGCCCATTTTCGGGAAACTGTAGGGCGACGGCACCAAGTCCCTGGCACTGCCAACACCATCTCATCCCGTCCATCCATCCATCCATCCATCCATCCATCCCGTCCATCCCGTCCATCCCGTCCATTGATCAGGTATCATGGTATGCTCTGTACAACTCTGGTACCACATATAGTCAGCTCCTATACTAGTAACACTACACTCACTCCTACACTCACTCCTACATGTCCCTGGCTCGCTGGCACCCAGTGGGCCGGCTCTGGCCGATCGTCGTCACGCCCGTCCGCTGCCGCCACCGCTGCTGCGACGGACGCGATGCCATGCCATGCTACTGCTTATGCTACTCGTGCTCTGTGATGCTGTGCGACCTTGCCTATGCTCTATGTGATGCTCTGCCTCTCTGCCACTTGCACCGACCGACTGTACCTATGCAATGCAACTCTCAACCAACGCCTCGTTCGCTTCGCTTGCCGACTTCCCTGCCTGCTTCCTTCACGCCTGCATCTGGCGCCAGCAACGCCTCCCTCAGCCTGCCAGCCTACCGTACCTACCGTACCTACCGTACCTACCGTACCTACCGTACCTACCGTACCTACCTAACCTGCACCTGCACCTGCACCTGCACCTGCACCTGCCTGGCCAAACCATGTCCTCTCAGCCGCCACTGGTCCAGGCCTGCCTGCTGCTATATCACTCCTGTCATCACTGATTGCACACTGCCTGTCCTGATCTTCAGCCCTGTCCGTCGCGCCCACTCGACTGCTGCTCTATCGCCTCTCCATTACCCTAACCCCCCTCCCCCCTCCCCTCCCCCCAGTACACTACCTCCTCATTGGTCGCCTCTCGGTCTCCGTCTCCCGCCCTCCGTCTGCACCGCCCGCCACCGAGACCACTCGTCCGTTCCACCCTCACCCTCACCACCCTCACCACCCTCACGGCCTCGCCCTCACCTTCACTTGTCTGCCCTCGCCCTCCTTCGCGCCATACCATGCCTGAGCGAACCGCCGCCGCCGCGTCCGCCAAATATCGCGAGACCGTCAAGTTGCGAGACAGCTGCGAGATTTGCGCCAGTGCCAAGGTCCGGTGCAGCAAAGAAAAGCCATCATGCTCGCGCTGCATCAACCGCGGCTTGAAATGTGAATATGGCCTTTCGCGCCGCAATGGCCGCTCGGCCAACACCCACTCCCACGATCCCGAAATCCCCTCCTCCTCCTCCTCCACTACTACTGCTACCTCCACTCCTCATGTCAAACCACCCGAGGCCCCCATGCGCCGTCGAGACAGTGCCAACCAAAACAGCCAGCACGACTGGATGGACGGCATGGTCAATTTGCCTGCCGAACAACAGCACCACATGGTCGACATCCCCCACACCCTCGCGCCGCACGTCCTTCCTCCTGCCTCCTATTCTCCATCCTCCTCCTCCACCACCACCACCACCCAGAGACCCTCGGTCACGACACAGGACCTTCCGGATATCAACGTCGCCATGCTGCCCAACGACCACGATATGGACATGTTCATGATGAACAACGACATGGCCTCGTGCTACGACCTGCAGCAGCATTGGAATCCGTCCATGTGTGAGCCCGATCGCTGCTGTCTGAATACTGCCCTCGATCTCCTGCGCCAATTGAGCATCACAGAGGCCTCCAAAGCGTGTCCTCGACGCGGCATGCCGGAGCAGATACCGCCGCCCACGCTCGAAATGGCAGCCTCCATGAACCGGAACATCATCTCCTCGCTCAACACCATTCTGGATTGCTCGTGCTCGCTCAACGGGAACCTACTGACCATTATTTCTCTCGTCACGTTCAAAGTGAGTCATCATCCTGTCTCTTCTTCTTTTTTCTGTTTCTCTCTTTTCTTCTTTGTTGCCTGGAATCGCTAACGGGGACGTTTCTTCAGCTCATTGCGTGGTGTGCTGCCGCAGCCAAGAATACACCACGAGCAAATACGTCCGAGGCTGATACCCCCGTCGCTCTGAAAGAGTTGCTACGAAGCCCCCCAGCGGGCTTAGATGGCCTGATGGATGCACTCGGTGCCACGGGAAATGAGCAGGTCCAAGCGGCGGCACAGACAGTGCTGAATGACCTCTATCGCGTGCAGGATCTGGTCAATCTGTTCTCGCAACGACTCAGCATGGCGCGACGAAGGCGGAGTGCAGTCGGGGGAGGCGAAGCCGGATCAGATATCCTCGCCGCCATGTACAACACTTCGACGACGTTGAGCGAGGTCAGTGGTCGCGTCGACCGCAGCGAGATATACGCTAACGAGAGAACAGCAAGTATCGGCGCAATTAGAAAGCGATTTGCGACGACGTTTACGAGCTGTCAGCTTCGAGACGGTGCAGATCCTTCTGCGCGGATGAGCAAGCATTCCGGTCTGTGGCTTCCGATGTCGTCAAGCCGGGAGCTTGAGACGTGACTTCTTCTGGATATATAGCGCATGTGGCCAGTGTTCGCATGTTATGGCACACAGTAATTCCGCATTTTCCCCTCTGTAGACCAGTTTTATGATCCTCACATACTTTTGATGCCCATTACGAGGGGCTTTGGCGTAGACGATGGACGAGGTGAGGTGGGTCGATAATAATAAACTTTGACGGCGTCGATGGAGGTACCCGTCGTACCCGAGACTGCAGGAGAACCTATGAACGCCAACGCCTTGGTACTGTCGTACATCCAATGTACCTACTTCACCAGCTCACCTCACCTCACCTCATCCCATCGCTGTGGATTCCACAGCCTCTTCCTCGCAATGCCGTGCAACGACTTGCGGACTCCTGCAACTGCTCCAGCGCCAAGCAGACGACGTCGACGCGAAGCCACCGCCACCGCCCCCACCCCTCCGCTCTCCTCCCTCCTGCCGCCGCCGCAGTGACCTACATCGCCGGTACCTAATCACCCTCCACGCGCCAAGGGCCTGGGAAATATACTGCAGCCCACATTACGCCTGCAAAGGCACAGAGCCACTGCTAATGTGCTCAATCAAAGCGCGAGCCAACGGCGAGCCATTGAGCCGGCCACTCGGATCATACCTCTGCTTCACTGCGACAATTTTATCCCAGTTTTGCGCATAGATCTAGGCCACACATATATCAGCAACCGAAGCACAGACGAATGACGTCTCGGCATGGCTCACTTACTCCTTTGAAATTATGATAGTCTTCCAAGCCGCTTGTGGCAGTCAACGTGTTGTCGAACTGGTCTCCCATCAGCTCTGTTGGACCTTCTTTGACGAGCTTTCGAGATAGCTGGATCTGCTCTGGTGTGGCATCCGGTGCTGCACTCATACTCAGCATGCAGAAGTGGCGAGCTTTGTCGGAACGAGGCCAAGCAGATGCCAAGGGTCCACTCTGAGGACCTCGCTATTGTGGGGTCAGCGATGACTCGGGATATCATGGTAAAGCTAGTGCGAGAAGTTACTCACTGTGCCCCAGAGCTCGTACATCACAGTCGCTTGTGTTCCCTGAGCTGCGCATTGTCGTTGCCAGTCGAATGATTTGAGAACAAGTTCCTCGGACAGCTTGCCCAAGGCCAACGGATTGAACCACTGGTGTAAGTGACCTTTTTGGGCCTCTGCCTGTGCTTGCATCTGCGCGAATCCCGCCAGATCCATGGTCTTGGTCATGTCCATGGCGCCTTCAATCTGCAGGATGGGCCCAAAGGTTTGGCGACCTTGCTCTTCTCCATTCGCATCGAACGCGTTGACAATGAAGACCTGCGGCATCGGAATCAGAAGCGCAAAGACTCGATTCTCAACAGCTTTAGAGTGGTCCATCGCACTAATCGCTTGGGCCACTTCGGATTCTTTGGTCCTGGGGATGATGATAGACCCTCCCCAGATGTCCTGCGGGTACTTGTACGCCCGGAGCTTGATTCTGGTGACCACACCGAGGCCGATGTAAGCGCCGCGATGTGCCCACAGGAGATCGGGCTCGCTGGAAGCCCACACGAGAGAGCCGTCGAGCTTCACGACCTCTACATCGAGCATGTTCTCCGGATCCGAAATGCAGCCGTACTCCTTGGACATGAGACTGAAGCCCCCGGCAATGACTGACCCTCCCAAACCGAGGAAGGGAGTTGCCGCGGCTACGACTGTATAATCGGGTGCCACTGCTTTCATTTGCTCGTAATACTCCGACCACAGGCTTCCAGCTCCAATAGTAAGAACCTCTTGCTCACGATCGAACTCGAAATCTCTGAAGTTTCGGACGGATACCAAAACATCCTTGGCTGAAGAACTTCCGACACCACTGGATCACCAGAGTCAGTTGCAAATGACATGCTGCAGGACCATGTCATACTGACCTCGTGCGAATGTTGAAGTCCAGGTTAGACTGTGCGAGGAATTTGACGACTTCGCACAGAGTATCAATCTGTTCCGGTTGCACGATAAGCTGTGGATGGAGGTTCTTGCCATAGGACCATGTTGACGACGCAACCTCGTAGCCGGCGTGTCCTGGAGTGATGATTTCGGAGTCCTTCAGTAATGAAGTGAGCTCTCGCAACTGTTGTGCTGACGATGTGTCTGGGCTATCTGCCACCGCAGTTTTCGCGATGGTACTCATGGCGTCTAGTCGTCGTTGTCGTGTTGGATGAACGTACTGGCTGGATGGATCGTGGGGCAGGCAACGATGAGCAGAATTCAGGTCTATGAGATTATATACACACTCGGTTGGTGACCAGGCTTCAGAGGGTCTTGTTCAAAGCCAATGGCTAGGATACGTCCAACAAGCTGCACTCTTCCCACGCTGAATAAACCCCAGCTCTCTCGAACTTTATGTGGGCACACCTTTTTGAAGAATTTCGGACCAAGCAGCTTATAGAAATTGAACATACAGGTATTATTAAGTCCGCACCGTATGGATATGGGCCTGGGGGCCATATTATTAAGTGTCTCCCCCAAGGCCGGACAGGGACTTGCACGAGGGGGGCGAATCGTGTTCACCGAAAGCGTTGACACCGGGGTCCGGGAATAATAAGTTCTGTTCCAGACACACACACACACACACACATGCACATACTAAGGTACACGAGACAGGCCAAATAGAAATGGTGTACAAAACCAACGTGTAGATCCCTGGATCTGTGAAGACATGCCTACCTGGTTAGTACCCAGTACTCGAGGCGTTTCCAGCCCTGGACGGGATACCACCACGTGGTGCACAGTGAGACAAACTGTTTTGAGACTAATCACTTTGCCACTCTGAGATGTTTCCTGTTTTCACCTTTATCTGTGGCAAAAGAATTAATTTTGTCTACCTAGGTATTCTTCATATGACTATGCACCTGAGGTGATGCACCAAGGCGAGTTCGGGGGTGGACCTTGTTTCGTTGCTTCTTTTTGGTTTATTTCCATAACAACTACATCGTACATACCATCTCAGCTTTGAAAATTTCTCCTGGAAACCTATCCATCTGTCTGCCTGTCTGTCTGTCTACTTCTTCCTTCCACACCAATTCGATTGCTCTCTATTTTTGGTTCTCGTTTTTAAAATCAAACTGGAGGAGGGTTGTAAATGGCTGCACAAACACAAGAAAAAAAAAGAAACCAAGACATCTATCCATATCGTCATCGTCATTTCCATCGCCGACCACTTCCCTTCCTCCTCCCCAAACAGCGCAATATTCAATATGCTCCTGAAAACAACAAGCATGATTGACATCTCTCTCTCTCTCTCTCCCTCTCTCTTTCTCTCTCTACTCTGTCTTCAGCAGTCCGTAAAGCCCAACAAGCGCGCCAGTAAGCGGAAACAACGATCTCGTGAAGTGAATCCGACTCCACTTCTTCACCAGTCTTCGTGCCTCACGAATCTCTCCCGCTTGATTTTCCACCTTTTTCCCCTTCTTCTCTTCCTCACCACCTCGACGCCCCCCACGACTCTGCTTCTCCAACGCCATGATGGTCTCGTTCGTCGGCCACATGAACACCCACGTAAATGGCACCATGACGACCGTTGTCACGCCCGCCACTGCGGCATATAGAGCCCAGGGAGAGTCCAGCGCTCGCGCGCGCAGCGCCGTGTAGAGGTATAATCCGCACGTGGCAATGGAGATGGTGGGGAGGGTGGGGAATCCGTAGTTGTACATGGCTACCCATTCGGAGAAGAGCTGGGGAGCGTGGTCGGTCGTGTCGAGGAAGACGGGCACGGCCATGAGGGATAGGCTCATCATGGTTCCTGGATCATGTCTCGTTGGTCAGATTTCTTTTTTTTTTTTCCTTTTTCTTTTGTTTTTTGTTTTTGTTTTACTTGATCAAGGTACTAGAAGAAGATGAATACTGGCGAGTTGCCCATGCGCGCCGCGTGTGATCATTACTACTACTACAACCTCATCATCATCGCCTCACCACCTCACCACCTACCTGAAAGGAATGAACCTGCCATGACGCTGACCGCCAGTGTGGTCTTAGGGTCAGCGGCCAAGGAGTCCAACATATTTGCGGCGGTAGGGCGGTCGATCGGTCGGGGACAATGGATGAGACGAGGCCGGAATTTTTAAATGTGTTTTTTTGGTCACTTTTAGCCAGCTCACTCGTATCGAAAGAATGTCGTTGAATCTGAAAAGTTCAACGGAATATGGATGGACTTGGGGCCAAAACTGAATAGGCAGCAGCAAGGGCAAGAAAGAGATACGAGTATCTAATGTACTTATTATCCTCGTCTTTTTTTGTCACACAGTAGTAGCACCGCGACTTTTGATTGAGTGGAAATGGAGGCATGTGGAACTGGAGTATGTGTCAGCAGAGAGAGAGTGTGTGTGTGAGAGTATCATTGCATGTGTATGGAGTAGTGATGGTCGGCGTCCGAAGAAAATCCCCACTAGGAGGGATAGAGAACTCACTAGTCTACCTTAGTGTTCCACACACATCCCACTTCACTTCCAACCCCGAACATCCCTGTACGATTACTCGTGCCGCACGATTCTTACTGTATTTTTCTCGTTGTTGTTCGTCTACCAATGTCGTAAGCAGTTAATTGCATCGTTGTGATGATGATGATGATGATGATGATGATGCAAACGACTATCCGCTAGGCGCTCAACGCAAATTGGCACCTACCTTGCCTACTTCTCATCAACACCCAACATTTAATTTGTAGGAAGAGGGGGAGGGGGGCCATGTTCAATGCATGTAATTTCATACTATAGGTAGGTGGGTACGTATATCTTCACTCTCGTTGAGGATGAGGGTGCCCGGCTAGGGCTAGCTCATCGAGGTGCTTTTCCATGGATTGTCTCGGCCACATACTTTGCAATGGCTAGCATCTTTTCCTCTTCCAGCCTCCTTCCCACGAGCTGAATGGACACATGAGCCCCATCGTAAATCTCGGGATCGTCTACGAAGAACAGTGTGTCAGCGAGTCTCCCTTCTCAGATGGTAAAGATGGGGCGGCGGCGGAAATCATACACGCATCCTGAGTCTTCTGATCCATGTCATTGACTGCCTGGAAGTTCTCGGCCTTGGTATCAATACTCTTGTCGACGTTCGTGACAGGAATCACGACGCTCGTGTAGTCTAAGACGTTGACCCAAACCGTGTATCCGTAATATGTGAAGAGGCTTGGCCGTGGAGCCTAATCGTATGACAGATGGTAAGCAGATGTCTCAATGTGCCCGTTTGGGAGGAGCGGATGATCGTGCGCTCTCAAGGATACAGTGGCAGAGAAGAAGAAATGGAGGTGTAAGAAAAAGTGATGACAATCTGTACTTACCGGGAATGGCGCAACAGGCGCAATGATGCAGTCCACGGGTCGTCCAGTATCTGTGAGCCCTGCGGTACTATTCCAATATTCCATGTATTGCTTCTGAAGGTCTCTTTTAGTGACGTTTGCCGTCATGATGTCCGTAGCGCTCGCTTGAGGCGCTCGCGTGACCAAAGTCTGCAAAGTCAGCAGTTCACTCTGGAAAATACGGGGAGGAAACCTGCTTCCTCAGATCTGTCTCCACGCTTGTTGCCTCCAACGAACAACTTACTTGCGGAGCTGCCTCTTCGCCGGATAGCTCAAAGTCTTTGGTACAGTCTTGGCCACCATCAAAACCCCAACAAGTGACCTGAAAAGTAGTACAGATAAGAGTTAGCGACTGTCCGGGACACGATGCGGGACATGCTCCGTGACTTGTTTACCCCAATATCAACAACGTCCTTGTGTGTTGGCGTCGGTTGCCAGTCAATGACCTACACAGGTAGTTGCAATGCGTTAGTGGCGGTCTCCGAGGATCATGATCAGTGTACTTCTCACCTGATGTCCAGCTCCTGTCATGGCCTCGACAGCCATATTCACAGCTCGGACGACAGGTGGCATGGGAGCACATTCTCCATCATGACGGATCACGGCAAAAGTGAGTGTGTTGCTCAGTCGTCGTACGGGATCAGACACTGCGAGCTCTGCGTCGCTTCTCCAGGGAATCTCGTGTGTCAAAGGGTCGTGTAGCCATGGCTTGGTGCTCAAGATCGCCTGTGTGACGAGCTTCAGCCCATCGACACTGGTCGAGAGAGGGCCCACTACACTCAGAACCGAGTTCTGACCATCCATACTGTTGGCCATGCCTTCATATGGCAATCGTCCGGTACTGGGCCGAAGACCATACAGGCCCTGGAAATGGCGATTAACATTCTGCAACCGCCGGAGACGGAACGTGGCAAATCACTTACATTGAAAGCACTGGGCAGTCTGATAGAGCCGCCAATGTCTGTCCCGAACCCAACGACGCTCCCTCGAGCTCCAATCAGAGCACCTTCGCCACCGCTAGATCTACACGGTTGTCATCAGCTGAAGATGTTTACGCCATGTGAGACCTCAATTTGAATCCTCACCCGCCCGCTGATAACAAGCGATTCTTTGCATTGTATGTGTAGCCGATGATGTTATTCTAGCGTTGCAGAGAGGTGAGCACGTGAGAATCGGCTTCAAGTGGTGGAAGTTCATCATCTGGCACTTACGATAGTTTCACCGCACATCAACGTATGCGGAACACTGGTTTTCACATACAAGACTGCACCGAGTGATCGCAACTCCTTGACCATTTCCGATTCAAACTTCTTCCCTTTGCCGGTGCCTTTTTGGCCTTGGAACGTGCCGAGCCAGCCGATATATCCCATACTCGTCTCGACATCGCGGACATGGAACTGGTCTTTCAGCGAGACGGGGAGGCCATGCAGCACACCTACCGGTTTCTTGTGTGTGGCATAGTACGCATCCAGCGCTTCTGCTTGCGCGATGGCGGCATCAAAGAAGATTTCATGGAGACAGTTGAGCAGTTGGTGTGCGATGGCAGCTCGGTGACAGAAGGCCTTGGTGACTTCCACACTGCTCCAGGTCCCATTGGCGCACTTCTTCACGATGTCGATGGCATCGCTCTCGGTGATTCGCGCCTCGTGCTCGTTCAAAAATTGCCGCATGTACGCGCCGGTGATGTCTCGCTGTTGCTCGATCGCAGGCAAGCTGGTGAGCCGCCACTCGGGAGGGATGAGGTCCAAGACGGACTGGGCCTTGTCCTGGCCACGTTTGCGCCAGTCGGTCATTGTGAGCAAAGGATGTCAGAGTTCAAGCGCAACTGAGGCTGATGTTCACTGTGTGTGTGTGTGTGTGTGTATGTGTGTGTATGCGTGGGAGTGTGTGAGTTTTAGTGATGATAAGGGTTGACTACTTCTGCCCTAGATGTGCATGAGGCATCCATCGAGTTTATCAGCGGTATACCTTCGTGTTCCGCCCAGATAGGCCGTCGGCACACATCTACTACATATGCCCTCCTCCACATGCAACATGTACGCCAGTCGTGCATGTCATGTCACTCGAGTGGGGTAAATTCGAGGGCGCCGACCTAGGTAGCTCGGCCAGTAAGGTAGGTAAGGTACGGTAGGTAGCAACAGGAAACAATAATAACAACCTTAACGCGGGATTCTGTACAATGTGCCAGACATGGATGATGGTATAAACAATCCTACCCTATCCTACGCTCCATGGTTCTGTGTCCGAGAGCATCTATCCTGTACAAGGTTGAGATAAGAGTATGCCCACGACGACAATGTCGACCTGCCTGAACGCCTCGCTAGACCCAGCACAATAAACATACAATCAGTCGACGAGAGCAAATATGTCACACGCCTCATTTCGGCATTCTCAAGGCCAGCGAACGATTGGACGACTTGGTGTGGCCATGCATCGTCCTGTCGTGCTCATGCTGGGCACTCTGCCATAGTCGGGGTCCTTCGGCCTTCTTGATGCCAGCCACGTCTCCTGCGAGTGGCTTTCCTGTAGACGGGTCCGCCGCAGCATCAACCTCGCTCCATCTACCTCGCGAGCTCCTCAAGTTTCTCCTCTTGCCCTCGCCCCACATGGACAACCTCTGTACCTTGCGCAGCTTTTTCAGGCCCCACCAGCAGGCGGCAATCGATAGCATAGTCGACGCTGCAGTCACACCAAAGAAACCAAGGTTCGACTCTTCAATGAAGTTCTCCAGATTCATGCCGTACAATGCAGCAATGAACATTCCCGCGCTGATTCCTAGCGTGCCGATGCTGAATTTAAGGTCCAGGAGCATGAGGCTGTTGCGATTGGCGTCGAGAATGGCGCGGACAATCTCCTCCGTGTTGCGGATCGCGCTGACGATGTTGGATGAGACCTGCACGATCTCATCGGCCACTTTGTGATAAGACTCGAGCAGTAGTTCGACTTCTTCATGGTTGTCGTCTGCTCGCTCCGTTCCCGCTGCCTTCTCCGTGAGATACATGGCTGCCAGGTCATCGTCTGCTTCCAGCAAGTCGTCGATGGCATCTCGCACCAGACGCGCTTTCTGTTCAAACGTCCCCAGCTTCTTCGAGTAGATGAGCAAGTGCCGTAGCTTGTCTCGATCAATGTCCTCCTCCAGTTCACGGAGCACGCGCACCACCGGCTCTCGCACCGTCTCAAACTCGCTCTCGAGGCCACCCGTCACACTGATGAGGACCGCTTCGAGCGCGCGGAACTCGTAGGGCAGGTTCCCCGCAGTACTCGTCGTCTGCCTCTGCCGCAATTTGCCTTCCAAATCGTACATGAACAAGCTTTGCGCATACGAGTCGGTGGACCCATAGACGTCGAAGACCAGAACGCGGTTGTGCTTGATCAGACAGCGCAGATGCAGCAGGTTGATCAGGATGGCCGAAGGGCGCACCAGGATATGCGGCAGCACGCTGCTGTCAATCTTGCGTAGGTCGCGTGGCAGCAGCGAGTACTTTTGGATGAGCTCGCTCTTGCGGAACTCGCCATTCACGAGCGTGACATTGCCATTCTCGTCAAACTCGGTGCAGCGCAGCTTCAGTTCGTTGCTGGGCTTGATGATACGGCCACCCAGGCCCGCATTGTCGTCGAGAAAGCCTGCCAACGGCGGGAGATGGTCGTTCGCAGCAGGCTTGGAGGCACTGCGAGACTGCCGCAGCCGGCGCCAGAACGTTTCCTGGCGCAGGCATGGCTGCGAGTGCAACGCGCGCGCATGTGCTCTGGCAGTGCTCCCGTGCGCAGCGGGGGCCTGCGAAGATATCGCTGTAGGCGGGGAACATTGCCGCGGCCGTGTCCGTGTCGTGGACGTCAAGGCCAATGTCCACGGGGGTGCCGGTGTCGAGGAGAGGTATCGCAGTCGACGGCGGCAACCGGGTGTGCTGGGCGTCGTGTTCGCATACACCGCAGGTCCTTCGAGCACACTACGCAGGAAGCGCAAGCACGCCGACGAGGGTACGATGGGGCCATGGGGGTTGATCATGTCTGTCGCATCGGCAGACGCATACCTGGACTACATGGAGAGACAACATTTATTTTCGAGCTCGACCTGAAAGTCGGGAAAGGTTAATTCCGCAGATAATGATATGACGGCGGACTTGGCGCGCGCATCAACCATCTTTCCGTCGTGCTTAGGCAGCTTAGCTAAGGTAAGGTACACAGGTACATCCATGTACATGATGGTACTGGTATCTCGATGTCGTTCGCAACACATGCCCAATCCCGTCACTCTGCAGTGTGCGCTCATGTTGCTCTTGCAACTACCACTGCTTCAGGGCAATGACCTTTTGCCATCCCGCAAGCCTGTCGCTCGTAGCAGTCGTTCCCACACATCCTGTCAAGTAACTCTCAAAACTCGCCTGAGTGCCATCGCTCAGAGCCTGCACATAGCTTGCATCGCACTGTGTCGAGACAAACCAAGCAGCACTTGCGAAGCCCCACTTATCCGTATTGATCAAGTTCAAGAGGTTTGCAAGGCCTTGCGCACTCGCGGCACTCACGCTCTCTTGGGTGATGTTGGCGTCGTCTCCATTGGCCACGATCCAGTCAGCATATTTCGCGTTGAATGCCGGAGACTGCATGTTTCTGGTGCCCTGGCCTGCGACGCCCGGATAGTGATTGATCTTGTACTTGAAATCGCCAGACTCAAAGAGCATGATGGCGACCAGAGCTGCTTGTGCACCGAAGGACTCAATCTTGAATGTGTGAAACGACTGCTCAATGTTGGGCGCTGCGACGCTTGCTGGCGCGCATTCTGTAGGCGCAGCGGCCCCCATACATGATACGGTATCCGGCGCGATGTTGGTGAGGTCGTCAGACGTGAGGCAGGTCGCGTGCTTGCGGACTACAGCACTCGCGACGACGGAGCCCGCCATGGCGAGCGTGACGAGTAGGCCTGAAGTGAGCATTTTGGCTTTTGGCAAGTGATGTTGTCTTTCAGGTTGTGCTGGCTCGGTTTTGTTCTCTGCGTTTGCTGTGCGTGCGTGTGTGTCTGTGTGTGTCTGCGTGTGCGTGTGTGCAGCAGGACAGTGGAGCGTGGTACTAAGCGATTCGAATTGTTGTTCTTTTAAAGCAGGTGCAGATCAGCGAACTTCACATTGATATACCTAAGGTACATGTAGGAGGTACCTTGTAGGTACTGAGGCATACTTCACTGAAGAGAGACGCGAGACTCATTATTCACGAACGAGTGGCGGCGAAACAGCATTCTTCAATGCTGTGTATAACACGCACTTGGTGAAACGTGTGAGAGACAGTCCGCTCGTGCTACGCATCGCGGCATGCAGTTCGAGGACAACAGCCATCCACAGGCGCGAGGGAAAGGTGAGGATGAGATGAGGAGAAACGGTCGTCGCAGAGTGTGATGTTTGGTGAGCACGACACGCCAGAAAGCGCTGCAGGACCCTGTTTCAGGTCCTGTTGGCCAGTGACGAAGTCATTCGAGGCCACCCACGTGCAGCGGAACGCGACCACGTCCCGAACCACAACTTAGCGCGTTCCGTCTCCTGCTAACTGCTGCCAACTGCCCTGCGTCATCAGAGTGACGACTGGACCTCCGCCGTGGCCGTGGCAGTGGCACAGCCCGTCGCCCGTCGCCCGTCCACCCGGTTCAAACTTCGCTCCGTTCGCTGTTGAGTGCTGGCTGCTGGCAACTGGCAAGTGGGAACGGAACGGAGGCAATCATCAATCCGAGTTGCGAGCATCCCTCTCCTTCGCTGCCTGGCTCTAGGATGGATGCCTGAGGATTCCCGTGTCACCAATGGAGCAGGATCAGGTACATTATGCAGGAGGTAGCGAGAAGGTTCCTCTCGTTGCGCGTCATCAATCATTGCATTGCCGGAACCAAGTGGTGTCTGCTACATTTACCTAGAGGTACCTCCTACGGGTACTCTGCGCGTGGACCGATGGGGTAGATGATGAAGCCGGTGAAGTGTGCAACAGCGGCAAGCGAGGAAGGAACGAGGGAAGGGTCCTGGAAATAGAAGGAAGGCGCAGCTAGTTCTAGTTCTGGTCTGCTTCTAGGCAGCAGCCAAGGCCCCTCCCCCAGGTGGGTCGTTCGAGAGCGTAGGGGACGTACCTCCTGCTAGCAAGTTTAGTGAGCAGACGACACCTCTCCATCCACCTCATCCTCACTCCCGCATCACGCCCGACGCGCAGAAAGAGATTCGTCTTGTCGCCCATTGACCACCTTACCTTGCTTGTATCACTGCAACTCTTTCTTCTTGACTGATCTTGTGCTATTCCGCTGTCGCGCTGTCCTGCTGGCCCTCCGTCGCCCGCCCTCCACCGCCCTCGTCACCCGCCGCGCCCAGCTGCAGCCGCTCAGGCTCCAGATCAGGCCGTCGCAACATACTTCCCTCCTCTTGCCTCCGGCACGCAACTGCTGCCCTGTTCTGCAGCGCTCTGCTATTCTTCTCCCGGCTGGTGGCCGCCCCATCGAGACGTAAGTTGTGACTCATCTCAGCGTGCTGCACGCAGCTGGCTCTTGCTAACCACCGCCTGCATGTGATAGGTGGCCGCCCTGCTCTAGCCATCCCATCATCTGTCTGTCCCCCCGACTGTCGATCTGGCCCTTCGCCCCGAATCGCCGCTGCCCGTCTGCCAACATGTCGGCGCCGGCTTCATCCCACCCGCGTCGTCGTCCCGCGAGACAATGCGATCCCGCAGAGACTCTACTCGACTCATTCCAGAATTTGTCCATTCGCAAAGGTGACACATACCACCCTACGAGCAATACCAGCAAGAGCAGCTTCTGGGACCCGCTGGAGTCGAGACTGGCAACCCCCGCCATGCCCATGCGTTCGTCCACCTCTCCACAATCTCTCGAGGACCTCTTACTGGGCGCTGGCGAGCGTCGTCTCACCCAGCTGCTGGGCCGTGTTGACAAGGCTGTCGCTGCCAAGTCCAAGATTGCTTTGGGCAATGCGCTGAGCGAGTCGGAGGTCCTGCCCGTGCCGACTTTCGTGGTGGACCAGGCTCCAGAGCAAGAGCGAGCGCCGAAGACTCGGACACGACACCATAGCCATTCTTCCGATAGTGGTATCGGCTCCTCTATTGCGGACTCGACGGAGTCGATCTCCACTGCAAAGATCTCGTCTCGCCCCAGTGAGTACGCTGCTTTCTCGTCTCTTTGGGAGTCTGCTAACCCTGCAGAAGCTACCGATGCTCCCTCCTCTCCCGACTCGCCCTCATTCTCTAGCATCTCTGAGGCTGCAGACGAAGAGCGCTGCTTGAGCAAGTACGCCGCCGAGCAGATCCATAAACACATAGTGCAGCCCATTCTCCGAGAGGACGCTCTCTCGGACTTCCACGATCTCATCAAGACTGTGCCCACCAGCATTGACGACAAGGACATCAGGACCTTGCGCGACCTGGAGAAGAGGCTCATATTTCTGGCGCCGGTAAGTCTCAGCATCCGCATCCATTCGGATTGCACGTTTACTCATAACTATCTCGGCGCAAAGGAACATTCACTCTCTCCTTCAAAATACCTACGATTTTGCGAGCGAACGATTCGCGTGCTACACACCACCGTAACGACACTTCACGAGTCTGATCAGCGGGCACGCAACGAGCGACCCTACACGCAAGGCTATTTCTTGGATTTGGTTGAGCAGGTTTGTTTGAAGAGTCCTATGCTTGGCTTCTCGCCCCATATTGACTCGTACTCGCAGATCCGACGATACGCCAGTATTTTAGCCGCCACTCGAGAACAGCAGGCAAAGGGCGACAAGCCTGAATCTATGGACTCCACCAAGTAAGTTCTTAGCCCTCCTACTTGCTGATACAGTTACGCACTGTGTTCTGGGGCCTGTTCAGCCTTGTTATCCCACGTCACTATTGTTGCGATTTTCCCATTGTCAGCATTCCGCTACGTCGTGCCCTGCTGTTCCCAGGGAGCAGTATGCGTAATGCGCAATAGAAAGAGGTACTCAGGTCTGCGCTGCTGATACTGCCTACAATCAAAAGTTCGCGCGATTGCGATCTGCTCTCTCTGAAACATGCATTCACTCCAGTGACTGATAACAATGGCATGTCGTGCTAATCGTCATCCGAACAGGGATCCTATTGTCTCACTCCACGGCGGGCTGAGTCACAACGGCAAGCCAGCTGAGCTTGTACATACTACCCCCGAAGGCAAGCTTATATCTTTGGCAAGTGGCGAAGCGATCTCCGACGAAGATTTGGAGTCTGCAGCCATGAAGCGGCCAGCTCTCGACGTTCACGAGGACGATGCCACGCGATCTATGGCTCGAAGAAAGAAAAACGCGAAGCCAGAGATTCACACCTGCGAACTTTGCACTAAGCAGTTCAAGCGTCCATGCGACCTCACCAAGCACGTCAAAACTCACGAGCGGCCGTGGAAGTGCTCTGAGGTAGACTGCAAATACCACGAGTTTGGCTGGCCGACTGAAAAGGAACGTGAGCGTCACATGAACGACAAGCATTCGTCCGCCCCTTCGCTCTACCACTGCATGTTCAAGCCCTGCCCATACACTTCCAAAAGAGAGTCGAATTGCAAGCAGCACATGGAGAAGGCTCATGGATGGGATTACGTGCGTTCGAAGAGCAACGGCAAGGGCAAAGTACAGAATGTCGTCCGGCTTCCACACGGCTCTGTGCCGCCGTCCCCATCATCCACGATGCTCACGCCACTCACGCCGATTGCGCCATCCCCGTCAACCCTCTCCTATGGCGAGTCATCACGGCGCTCGTCCATGGCGCCTCCGCCACTTGCAGGACCAAGCACTTCCAACACCATATCGTACGGGAATACTCCCGCTGCCGATTTCCTGGGGCATTTCAATATGGACCACACAGGCAATTTCGACTTCAATGACATGACGAACTTCCGGACGTCAGCATTCCCCATCACGCCAGCACTGAGCGACGACCTAGGCACTTCGGCGAGCGTATCAACCCACTCTGGAGCCCACTACCCGAACAGCATATTCGGAGACCTCTCGCCCAACCAATTCACGTTCGATAATAATGATTTCGCCTTTCCAGCGAATTGGCACCCCGTCCAGACTCCAGATTCGAGCATCGCTGGTCCTGGCTCGTCGGCAACGCACATTTCACCTGCTGCTCACATGGAGCAATCGTTCAACGAAGACGCTGTGATGGAGGACACCTATGGTGATTTCTCCAACGGCCCAGCCCGGGACTTTACACTTTTCGGCAGCAATGTCCCTGCAGAAACAAGTGGTGACATGTTTCCGAGCGTGAGCAGCTGGGGCAACGTGGACCACATGGGAATGAACTTCGCGACACCACCTTCCCTTCCAAATGGCAACACCAACGCAGCTCTTGCGGAGCTGTTCCCGGAGCTGTCAGAAGGCTCGAGCAAGACGAGCTTTGAAGCAGTCGAGCTCTGAGACTAGGAACTTGAGCTCTAGCCATTCGACAACGACTCGCTCGAATGGTTCACACGGAGGCATGACGTTATGTGACATGATGACAGACCGGTAGTAGGTGGTAGGACATCTCCCGAGGAAGGGTTGGAGTTTCGATGGTGGATAGTGACACGACTCTTTCACGTTCCAATTGAGTCTGGCTGAGGCCTATGCATTAGCCACCATGCGCATGGCGCTTTTCCAGTAGGAATAATTGATCACCGTCAAAAAGATTATGGTCTGCTCTGTTTCCTCATTGATATCGGCCATTTCACCTGAAGCTGAAATGATCTACAGTGCCTGTCAGTTTCATCCAGTTTCTACCTAGTGTAGCAGCGCTTCAATAATGCTCAGCGACGTTGTAGCTGGGTAAGCTATGTATCTTTAGCCTGGGAAATCATGCGTGTTGCTCGGTACATGAAAAGCCATCCCGGTGGTGTTGTCATGGATGTCAAACGTTCCCGTACCCATACTGCGTCGTGTCTGCAGATACTCCAGCTCAATTTGCTGGCAAATGCAGAGCAAGATGGTCATGATCAGGCACGCGCACTCCCACCACCACCACCACTACTACTACTGTTATATATGCCCTTATTCCGATATGTCTGCCAGTCAACGTCCCGTGGAAGTTTCGGAAGAGTACACCAGACTACACACCAAAGGGGCGGGCCAGTACTGCTGAGGTACAGGTGGTAAGTCTAGTCCAAGACTTTGGTCTCGTCGTGGTAAGCGGTATTTCCGAGGCACCAGTTGTGCGCAGCTCTTACTGTTCTCTCTGCTCCGGACGGAGAGCCTCAACTTCTCAGATCAGCAGGGGTGAAGCGTGGTAGGAGGGCCACATTCCAGCCCTGAAAAGTTCTGGCACTATCCGGCAAAATTGCTGCGCTCATGACAAGTTTCGCTCGGAGTTCCTGTGTCTCGCCTGCAGGAAGCTCCAGTTCGCCTTCTGCGAGCGTATTTCTGTTGAGTGCACCGGAGTCCTGGAATGACATTTCACAGTCCTGCCAGAACACCTTCACAGCACGCATGGGTTCTGGAGAAGTCATTGCCGAGCTCGATACCGTCATGTCTGGCGTGAAGACCCACAATCGAAGCGACCGTGTGCCATTGCGACTGTCTTGGATGGTGAACTTGCGAACGCCTTGGCATTCAATAGACGAAAGCAAGAGACAGGACCACCACTTCTCTGCTTCGTACGACCGTGAGGGTTGGTCAATCGCAGACGTTGCGGCCAAATGTAACTTTCGTAGCTTGTACCCACCGCTGGTGTGTACGTGACCGAGTACTGTACTGCATGACACGCATTCTAGTTGTCCGGCTTCCTTGTTCTGGCTATTGTGAGATGAGGTAATCTGATGTATTACAGTATTAGTGAACATGTTTTGGGCTGCATGCTCGGATTATGTAACGACGAAGCATATGTATCAAAGCTTTAATCCCGTCAAGCCCATGAGCTCCTAGGAGTGACGGTGAAACGCTAGACCCAAGACTGAAGTGCTCGATCAGACGAACCGCAAGGGTTGGTTCTGATACTGCTACTACGACGCTTGGTTGATCTCGCACATTTGTATCCCGACGCTCTCATGATGGTGACCTTGGTGGCCTGAAAGGGCCGGTTCTTGATGTGCCGTGTTTAGACGTAGGAGGGCTAGAATTTATGCATGTCCTACCTTCAGGTTTCCACAGTCCTTACTGGCAAGCACGAAATCCACCGGATCGACCATGCCAATCCCCGGGTTGAGAGCGAGCGTGCTGTCAACCGAATAGCCCTTCGTAGGAGGGTCCCGGTCATGATCATGCGCGACATGTGGCCGGTGGCAGTGCCAAAAGTCCATCATCTCGGCCCAATTCTCAGATGGCAGATTTTTCCACGTGAGGACCTTACCGCGGGCAAGGACAATCTGCTGGCAATGCATGCAGCTGAGCTCGGTGTCAGCGTTCAAGGCGGCAGCAGTCCAGGGCACAATGCTCTCCACTTCCTGGCTGCCATCGGCGAGAGTGGCCTGCTGTAGCTGCACACGGAAGCTCATCCTTTCGCAAGGCGCCTCTGGTATAGGTAGCGCTGCAGTGGTGCGGCCTTTCGGCACAGCGGCAGGGAGTTTGATGGAGGCGACATGTCCATTGTGTGCGAGAGTCAGACTGCTGCCATCAGTAGAGATCGTCGCGCAAGTCTCCTTGTTGGACGGAGAGGGGAGGACTGCTTGTATAGAGATGGCGTGGATGTTGAACAGGTGCTCGGCATACAGCAGCATCGCGATAATGCCCGTGGCGTGTCTCGGATGTGAGTGAGCATGCGACGTTCATACTGGGAGGTGTATATGGTAGGAGGTATGGTGAGGCGGGAGCGGGCGGGCGGGAAGAAGGAAAGCGCACGCGGGTATACGGGCCGAGCCGGGCACTTGCGAAAATTGATACTTCTCTCTGCCTGCTCCTTTCTTTCTCTACCTTCGCACAACCATCAACATTCAACATCGCCATCTCTGTACGTTTAGGTTGGCAGACAAATCGCCCCACCACTCGCCATCTGCCTCCAGACATGGCTCCTATGTCCGCTCACATGTCGCCAATGGCGCCGAGTTGAGATGCCTTCTGGTGGCTGAGGCTGTCCCGGTACGTCCTTCGACTCCCCAAAACAACACGCTACCCTTTCCTTGATGATACACTTTTACACGAACAATCCAACTCCTATCAATCATGAGGATTCCAACAAGCTCTAGAATTATTCTGAATCACTCTCACTGCCCTCAGCATCTGCTAGAATCGCCAAGCAGCACCTGCTGACCATGCCGCACAGAATATGGACAGTCGCAGGTCTGACACACAAAGCCTTCCGATACATCCACCATCCGTGGTCTGATGTCTGCGCGTACTGCTCATCCGAAACTGCACATGACAAAAGGTATGTTTTCTCTCTCTCCATTCAGCCTCTACCATGAAATGAAGATACCTCGACAAACGAATAGGCATTCCTCGACCTTAATACATCATGTCGAAATTGTCATTAAATAGTTTCAGCCTTGTCTGATCATCGACCCATCGCACAATCGTCACGCTCGAGATCAATGCGTACTGTGACTAACCTCGTTCTTAGGTACACTTCTACACCATGCATTCTATACGCCTCTTATGATGAGCACTACAACGCAACGGGCGGACAGATGCACTCCTAGTCTTGCATCTATTCAAGCAAGGACGTACAATCCTTGTAGATGTTTGGGCGAAGATGTGCTTGTTGAGAAAGCGTCGACTGATTCCTGCATCCACTCATCGCGCACACCAGAAAGTTGATGACAGCATGGTGGCTAATCGTGTGCAGGTATTTTAGTTAGCACATCTCTTTTACCCGCGACCTAAATGATGACCAATTCACACTGGTTGAGCACGGCATGTCTATGTACATGTCGCGCCTTGAAAAACACAACACTGAAAATTCTGATTAACCAGGGTGCGTGCTGTCCACTCCTGCAGCGCCACGAACTATGCTGACGATCTGGTGCCTAGTGCAGAATTTGAATATTGATGCCTCTGTCGATATCACGAGCTCGAGTACTAACTTGATCACGCGCAGTAACCAACACGGTCACTTGTGTCCATTTGATAGTAAGTACTACTCTCCAGCACATCACGACCCGTCCAAATGATGTTAAATGACCTTTGCGGAAATACAATGACGGTTTAAATCAAAATCTCTGATAGCGCCTTGCAGAAGCAACCTCGCCTCTATCTGCCCTCCCATGTTACATGAATGCACACTGATTTTGGTCAATAGGGACGGCAGTGGCATGTCAAAACACTGGTCTGTCGCTACACCGCCTTGAAAGAGACCAGTGACGCACCCAATTGCCGTGACTTGTCTCGGGCAGAGCGTTGAGCCGTGTCGTGATAGCACATGGGGTTTCCCTATTAGGCCTGCCCAAGGTAGGGCAAGCAATGGTACCTCGCTGTCCTCCCGCGAACCATTCTTCGGTATCCTCGCAACAATACAACGCTAGGGTAGCTATCAGTGGAACTTGCTTGCCGAATATGATCGAAGGACTGTACGATTCCCGAATGCTGGCGACTTCACATGTGTACCTTCACTTCAATTCAGTCGCCCGAGGCAATTCACCATAAAACACGTGCACGCTCTCTCCCTATGTATGCGGTCTACCGATGATGACGCTGATCGGTGCCTCACTGCTGGGTCAATATGTACAGTCAATGGCCTTGGAGCCCGGCATGACCAAAACTGCTAGGAGCATAATTAAGGTTGACGAGGTTCGCAAGCACGTGCGCCTCTGATTGGTCGTTCTCCGTCGTAGACAGTCTACCTCTAGTCGTCGACTGTTGCGCTCCTCGAATGATGGCACGCGACACTGGAAACGTGGGTTGCAGTCGTGCCTTCCCTTCCTGACGAGCGCGCTCTTTCCACCATCACCGTGACCGTCTGCGAGGCCTCCACTTCGGGCCAGACATGTAGGCATGGCATGCACATCATCCATCACGCTACCTGACCTTACATGTACCTGTATTGTCGGAGGCACTCACTCTCTGTTCATGTACCTGCCTGTCGTCGCCCACCTTGACTCCCTCCGCTCCGCCAGCACCTCTTCGCCTGTGTCTACCTAGTAGTGTTGCCACCAAGGGCTTGCTGCTGCTGCTGCTGACATGCCGCGACCCAAAGCACCGCCCACTCCGGCCTCCAGCACCGATATCAGAGCCAAGGACGGCTACCACGCTGGAGACGCGCTGAGTCTGCCTCCGACAGGCTACCAGGAGCACGATGATCGAACGACCACGAGCTCGACCACCCCGTCTGCCGCTGGCTCCGACTCATCGCACAGCTCATACCGTCCCACCTCGCCGCTCCATGTCGTCGGGCGCCAACGGATGGCGCCCGGTGGCGGATCCGTCATCAGCAAAGATGATTTCGCACTGCCGCCCCCACCGACGAGGTCTCGCAAGATCATACAGATGAAGCCCAAGGGCAGCGCACAAGAAGCGCCCTCGGCTGCCGAGGTATCGAAAGCGGCATCCGCAGGCGACACCAGGTCGGCTGCAAAGGCTGGCAGCAAGAGAAAGTCAGCCACTGCTGGCACCACAGCAGCTGGTCGCAAGATTGCCAGAAAGACCGCACATAGCCTGATCGAGCGGCGGAGGCGATCCAAAATGAACGAAGAATTCGGGGTTCTCAAGGAGATGATTCCGGCATGTCAAGGCCAAGAAATGCATAAGCTAGCCATCCTGCAGGTAAGGCGTGTGATGGAGACCTGGATCGTAGGCACAGGCTAATATAATCATGCACCTAAATCAAGGCGAGCATCGAGTACCTTCGTTACTTGGAGCAATGCGTGGCCGAATTGAAGACACAGACTACTACACCCAGGTCCAGACGTTCGGCACCGCCACCTCCAATACATCCACCGCGCGTGGAGACCATTGGTGACGATGATGGCGACGTGGACGAACCGATGGAGGACGACGTTCACGACGTGAGCCCCTTGACGCGGGCGACTGTCAGTAGTGTGGCGCGTTCCACTTCCATTGTGTCCCTGCCATCGCTTTCCCAGATGACCTCCACTTCTCCATCGATCTTCTCCGTGGGCGCAGGAAAACACCATTCCGTCTCTTCTGCTGCAAGCAGCTACTCACCGTACTTTCACTCGCCAGCATCAGAACTGCAATTCCATCATGCTGCACCACCACCACCACCAGCGTCATTCGGTAACAACACATTCGGCCTGGGAAGCCCCGCCCTGAAGCCGGTCGATTCGCACCTAAGACAAATCGCAGAAGGAGCGACCGAGCTTTCCGCAGACGCACAGCGACTCGCCGCTGCTCACGGTAGTCGCAGCGACCATGAGCTCGACCAGGAAGCGACTACTGCGCTTTTGATGCTGAACCACGATCGGCGCAATTGGCGCGAACCCGGGCCTACACGATCCGTCACGGGGATGAGTGTGCGAGACTTGCTGGGCAACTAAAAAAAGTGAACTGTTGTGATGCGTTGTGGTGAGCACGAGATGAATAGATGATCCGCGAGCAAATGGTCCTGGAGGTCAAGATGTCTTTTTACGATGAGGATGAGAGGAATGTTTGTAATGAAAAATTTCGTTATTCAGGTAGCCACAAACAACTGTACTTTCCATGTTCAGGATATCGACCTGGTAGAGAGAGAGTGGGTCGTGCCACACCTTTGCCGACACCACACACTACACCTCCACGAGTAAAATCCTCCAGTCAGAGAAATGATACCAGACGGGATGGTTTTCTCCTTTGGTTCGCTTCCAAGGCCTCCTAGCATTTGTGGAAGGGACACATGGTCATTCCTCGTAGCCGAGGTATGGATCGACGGTAGAACTCCCACTCTGCCGGTTTGCTCCTTCATACCTACCTGTCATCCCGTTCGTACCAAGTGCCATTTATAGAGCATCTCGTGGCTGCCGTGGTTGATGAGTCATGTGATAAAAGACTCTGGTCCATCACCTGCAGAATCCGACAAGGAGGCTGAACCGCGACTGCGGCGAGGACGGTCAGGACGGCGGAGTGAATCCTTCGTGCCAGAAACTTCACAGTGGTGGTGATTGCGCGGTGGAGTTCATCTATTATACCCCATCCCAAAGCCGATAGACAGTAGGGTTGCTTGAATTCCAGAGATGTCTCTGGTGGACAAAGCACAGGGCTTGCCTCACGATGCGAGCATACCACCTCGGCTGGCAAATCCAAACCCACCTCTGCCACTATTGTCGGGCCCTCGAGGCTGTCTCACGGGCTGATCTTCTTTCGGCGTGGTGTTACTCGATTCTCGCTTGTATATTTGTGGGGGAAGGTCAGGATCAAACAGCTGCTGGTTTCCCGCGGGCGTGGGCGTGGGCGAGGCCGACGGTTCCTTCGACGACTGCGGCTGGCCCCTGCGAGTACCATTCAGCTTTCCTCCCCGGGGAGGACGTCGACTGCTGTCACGAGCCTGAGAGTTGTCGCGCGAGCTCGAAGCCAAAGTCGGCTTGGAGGCTCCCATGATCCTCTCCCGTGCCTCTGCATATCGCTTCTGCTTCTCCTCACGCTCAATCTTCGCCCTACGTTGCCGTTCCTCAAAGTCCGCTTCCAGCTTCTTCCGCCGCTCCTCCTCACTGTCGTCATCCTCGTCGTCGTCGCCCCTTCGAGCGTTTGCTGGGGGCTTTCTGCTGAGAAGCGTGACGGGAACTTGGTAGTCCTGCTTCAATGGCACAACGCCTCGAGTCTCGAGCCAGTGGTGACGGGCGGGATTGTCGGCAGAGTCCCAGAGCTGCTTATTGTGCTCGATATGCTGCGCCTTGCGCGCGGCCTTGGTCAGCCGGGGAGCAGGGAGCGGTGCGCCTGGTGTTGTTCCTGTTGCTCCTGCAGGCGCCCCTTGGTGCGAGACGTGGTCGGCAACCTTTTCCCAATCGTCGTCGTCCCATGCATTCGGCACGCCGCCTCTACCGCTCATCTCGTGTCGAGTCGCACCGTTGTCGTTGACGTTGTTGGGCTCGACTCTTCGCTGTGTGGGCGTCGGGCGGCTGTCTTTCGCCATAGCTTATGTAAGGTACGTACCCTAACCTCACTTCCTCCGGGAACCCTGTCCCGTATTTCTCACAAGATGTCCTTGGCATCGAGCCAATCACGTGATTTTGACGTTGACAAGGCAGGAATTGAGGCATGCATCCATTGCGACCCGCCGCGCATTGCACCACTCGCCCAATCCAGCGTACAACGCGCCTTCTACCTCCTAGTTTGCGAACCGCCGTCATCTTGGCAAGAATCATGCTCATACGGAGGTACCTTATCTGAAATGAAGAATCTGACCCCGCAGGCAACATGGTAAGACGGCATACGTCGAGCCTCTCGGTCCAGCAGAGGTATTTGTGATCATAGCAGATACCTAGGTAGGTATGATAGTTGCAGTTCCCCCGCTACCTCCTACAACCGAACTCCATCAGCGTCGGAAAGGACCACTCGCGATACGGACATGTACAGTACAAGTCAGGCACCATGTCCATGTCAGGTAGGAGGAGGTCGAGACTCGGAGCACATGAGTGATTTTAAGCTTATCTGCTTAGAACCGTCTCCCGGCGCGTCCCCGGCTGGCTGGTTGCTGGCCTAGCAGGCTGGCACCACACACGTGGGACCACCACTTGCCACCACCAACCACTGTGAAAAAAACTGGGAGTCCGGGATCAGCCTCCCGTTCTGCGGGAATGCTGACATGATTGACATCACTGATATCCAAGTCCCGAGGCGGCTTCGAACTCTACTGCTACCTATACGTGTACGTGTGTCCTTAGCGAGTTCTACACATGTCCCTTCCAATCCACAGCAGACGCTGACATCCGCGCATCCTGCCTCCAGGAAGTGTGGCTGGGGCCTGTTCGCGGCTAATTTCTTTCTCTTTCCTGCACAAGCCTCACTTCATCCCCATTTGTCCGTCCTGGCCACTGTCCATGGACGACGAGCAGCCGTTCCCCCGTCACTGAACGCGAAGGTCAGCGTCATCATCATCATCGTCATCATCATCACCATGTTGATCCGAGCCTGCCAAGACCCCAACGATCATCTCTCAGGCTAGATTTGTCAACAAACTGGTTCCGCAACATAGCGCATCTCTGGGATGGGAGGGGGAAAGTCGAGAGTCTGGGCTCATTACAAACAACCCCCTGTACAGCATGCAGCCTGTCGTGCCCTGGCGCGCAACAGTTTTTGCTACATTTTTAGCATTGGAGATCATGAAAGCGATGATCATAGCCACATGTCCGAAGCACCCGAAGGATACGTGGTATGGTATGGTATACGTGCAGGTAGTGAGTGATTCAGATCATCAGTATCTTATATATAAAGACCTGCGAGAGTCCTCATATCCGGGTCAGTCTCACTTCAACTCCCATCGTCCCAGGCATCTCATCTCCTCCTCTTCTCCGAGTATACATATATATATCACTATGAAATCTTTCATTGCCGCCGCCGCCCTGGCGACGCTTGCGAGCGTCGCAGAGGCCAAAAAATGCCAGAATATCACCGTTCCCGTGACGATTGAAGCGCGTCTGGGAATGTTCGGTGACCTCGCACCACAGAACGACATCGATATCACCAACTTCATCCTCAACCTGGCCCAGCAAGGCAAGAACTTTACGGAAGCTTCGTTGAAGGGCGTAAGTATATCATTTCGAAGTATAGCGGGAAATCACTCTCAACTCACGATTCCGATATAGTACAATACTGTCAAGGGCAGCTACCACCTCGCTACCACATACTGCGCCCCAGACAACGGAGCTCCCAATGTGGTCCAGGTTCTCACCCACGGCATTGGCTTTGACCGCAGGTATGCATATATATACATACCTATATATCCGAGACAGAGTGTGATCAACGGAGCCATATACTGACACGTTTGACAGCTACTGGGACGCTCCGTAAGTACATGGAACAAAATTCCCCAGGCCCAATATCTGAGCTCGAAGCCTCTTGTGACGATTTTTCATCATAAAACAACATTGTTCACTGACCTTTTTTTCCAGATACAACAACTACAACTACAGCTACGTCAACCAAGCCGTGGACCACTACGGCTATGCCACTCTGAGCCACGACCGTCTGGGCATCGGCATGTCGTCCAAGGGAGACGCCGTCAACGAGATCCAAGTGCTCCTCGAAGTCGCAGCCCTCAAGGCCCTCACGGACAAGTTGCGAGCGGGCACGATTCCCGGCGCAGCCAAGTTCGCCAAAGTGCTTCATGTCGGCCACTCGTTCGGTTCGGTGCAATCTTACGTGCTCAGTGCGCAATACCCCAGCATTTCCGATGGTCTGGGTCTGACCGGCTTCGCTCAAAATGGCTCTTTCCTCTCGCAATTCTTGCTCGGAGGCAACTTCCGCGGAGCCCAAGTCTACCCGCAGTTTGCAACTCTGCCTCGCGGTTATCTCGCTCCTGCTTCGGAGCAAGGCGTGCACATCAACTTCTTCTCTCCCCACGAGTTCGACCCGGCCATTCTTCCATTCGCATACGCTACCGGCCAGCCTGTGACGATGGGTGAGCTGCTCACCATTGGAGGTGCTGCTGCCGCTCCAAACATGGTAAGACAACGAAATTTCCCGAGTTCTACCTTAGGGAACCGAATTGCTGACTTTGGTTGACCCTTCTAGATCAAGGCACCAGTCCACATCATCACTGGCGAACGTGACGTGCCCTTCTGTGGTGGAAATTGCCTTGCAGCTCCCACCGGCTTCTCTAGCATCCCTGAGGTATGTTTTTTCCATTCCGACTCTCTGAAGTTGTTGAAACGAAAAAACCTTTTTCTTTTCACATTGTGCATTTGCTCACCCGTCTTGATGATATTTAGACATCCAAAGCCATGTTCAAGAACGCGAGCCCCTTCAAGGTGTCCATCATTCCCCGCGCCGGTCACGGCCTCAACCTAGAGTATTCCGCTCCGCAAACGTACAAGACGATTCTCGACTTCTTTGTCGAGAATGGTGTTGGTCCTGCTAAGGGGTACCGTTCATCTCGGCGCAATTAGAGAGGCGAAGAAAAATGTGGTAACAATCCAGTAGGACCCTGTAGGAATTTACGATAGACATGAGGTGTGAGAGGAAATGTAATGTACGAATGACGTTCTCCCCAAAACAAGTCTGAAGTGAACCGAACAAAACCCCTGCGTGTGTGACTGTCATGCCCACAGGTTCATTCATATTAGTGCCATTTGGTGTATCTGGTGCAAACGGGGAGATATGGTGATGGTGATCCGATTTGAGGCGTGGCTACACGTCATTGTAGCTTCTTGCCTTTGAGTTCCTGCGGCTGGCCCACGACGACGCCTCGGTACAACGCATCTGCCACCCCTCGCCTGATCCCCTCCTGCAGACCCACGAGCGGAGCATATCCGAGCCGTTTCTTGGCTTTCTCGATGTTGTAGTACCTCGTCATGCACGTGTACCGCACTTGCTGCCTCGTCAAGTTGGGTTTCCCCAGCCGGAACAGAAAGAAGATCCATTCCATTAATGTGGCCAGAAACAAGCCGACGTCTTTGGACAGGATCCACACCTGTTCGGGTCGAGTCGTGTCCCCAGCGGCTGCCCAGCACATGCGTGCAAAATCGAAAAAGTACACTGGAGCATCGTTGGTGATGAAGAAGGCTTCGCCGTCGACTCTCTCGTGATCCAGGGGAGGAGCGAGTCCCTGGGCGTCTCGATCGGCAGTAGCAAGGAGAGCGGCAGTGGCGAGGTGGTGGGCATGCGCAACGTTGGTGACTTCAGTGAAGTCGAAGAGATTTTCGTTTGAGCCGATCTGGACTTTCGTCTGGCCCTTGTAGTAGGCGCTCAGGCCAGGCGGGAGGACCTGCACGTCGCCCTCGCCGAAAATGCCCGAAGGACGCATCGCAGCGGTGAGCAAATGGGGATACTGCGGAGAGCGGTTCGCAGCCAGGACGAGCAGCTCCGCCTCGGCCTTGGTCGTGGTGTAGTATTCGGGCTGCTGCTTGCCCATGATCAATGGATAAGTCTCGTCGGCATAGACCAGGTCGCTCTGCGTGTCGTGAATGACAGAGGCGGAGCTGGTGTAGACAAAAGCACGCACGCCCGTCTCTTGGGCGGCTCGCAGCAGGACTCTGGTGCCCTCCACATTGACCTTGCGCATGACCTCGCGGTTCTTGCTGGCAGTCATGACAGGACTGGCTGTGTGGATGACGGCGTCGAAGTGACCCGCGTCGAATAAGGGGCGCATTTGCTCGTAGTCGGTCAGGTCGCCCTGCTGGTAATCGACGGAGGCGATGGGTGCCGTGGGCGGTCTGAGATCGAGGACTGTGATGCGGTCGCAGGCATTGCGCTCCGCCAACATCTTGACAATGTGGTTGCCGAGAAAGCCTGCGCCGCCCGTCACCAGCACATGGCCCAGCGACCGCATTTTGGGCGCATTTGATCCAGCCATGTGTGGCAGTGGCAGTGGCAGTGGCAGTGGTAGTGGTGGTGGTGGTGGTGGTGGTGGTGGTGGTCGCGGTAGTAGTAACAGCCAGCAGTCGTAGGTAGAAAAGGTGTGCCCTACAGGCACATGTACCTTACAGCAGGTACCAGGTATAGTTTGATATAGGGTAAGCTCCGAGAGGCCCGTGCATTCGTTATTGAACTCGACAGCGCTAGAAGTAAGACTGAAGAGTAGGTATACCTAGTAATACCTACATGTATCTATAATGACATATCGCCCTGATGTTAAGACTCTCGTGTTCATCTTTCGGTAGGTGCTCCGAAAGGATTAATGTATGTTTGCAATTCGATATGAGCAGTGAGTTGTCCTGCTGACTCATCAACGGCGTTGTAGCAAAGTGAGTGGCCCATGGCCAGTTCGATCATGGCGCAGGTCAATGCTAACATATGTCAGGTGGTTAATGCGATTGACTAGAATGGCAATTCGTTGCCCTACAGCTGATCAATTCCCTTCGGGTAAGTCTTGTTCACATGGTCTCCGCATCGGACTGGCGCTAACTCAAAGTAGGGGCGTAGGTTGTAAGTACTGCTACAAAATCCACTACTGGTACACATGCTTATGGGATGAATAGCGAGTCCTGCCAACGTCGAAATCCTTTTGCCACGTTCTCCTTGTATTTTGCAGTACTAAAACGAGCCGGTGCTTCAATAGTCCCAATGCTTGTAGTCACTTTTTTCCCCTTGAAAATATGCCTGCAAACGCCACCGAGCCGGTGGCGCGCAAGGAGAGTGAAATTCTCTCTACTATCACACATTCTAATGGGCCTTCTACGAGAGAGACTATTCGCATGGGAACCCACTTCAGGTATTTATGAGTGACCGTGGGGACCGTGCATACAGCATTAGCGAGAGGAGGCACCGAGTGCAAAGAGTCCCAAGATTGAATGAGCTGAAAAGTGAGATTTGGTCAAAGCGCACATGCGCGCTGTTCGTTTCGCAGGCTGTCTATGCACATCGCAAGACTACCTATTTATGTATAGTCCATGCCAACGGTACTCGTAGTGTTGACACATGGCGATGACCAGATCACCACATTTCCTGGTCTCGTTCGTCGTCGTCAACGTCGTCGTCGTCGTCGTTCCACAAACCCGCTTGGGTGTCATATGCTTGGTTGGACTTTGGGTAGCCTAGGTAATCATTGGTGCTCGCCACTTTGTACCCGTGCAAAGAGCTGTTCCCATCTGAAGACCCATTAGCTCGGCCGTTTCCCCTAGAACCCTTCGACAAAGGTTGTCCGTACTCATCAGCAGAAGTTCTTCGGCCATTGCCCTGTTCTCGCTGCCCGTCGTGTACCACATCAAAGTCGGTACGCGCCTCAGAATGTGTGTGCTTGGCGTCTTGTCGTGCTTGTTCCTGAACGCATTCGGTTAGTCCTTGAGTCGGGCAATATATACCTACGCCTGACTCACTTCTTGCCACCTCTGATACTGATTGTACTCGGGAGGATGCTGCTGCTGTTGCTGCTGTTGTGGATATTGCTGTTGCTGTTGCTGTTGTGATGATGATGACGATGATGATGATGGCGGTGATTGTGATTGCGATTGTGGCTGCTTCTGCTGCTGCTGCTGTTGCTCTCTCTGCTGAGCCGTTCTTTGAGCCGGAATTTGCATCTGAGGATGCATCATTTGCACCTTGGCAAGGTAGGAGTACATGAAATTGGACAACAGCACCTGGCTGTACAGAGCTCTTCTTGGATTCGCGAGCTTGATGTGTGCCATTCTGTAGATGGCCCGTTCCTCAAGAATACTGAACCGTGTCCAGTTGTAATCAATATCAGGCTTCAAAACCCTCGACGGAGGCTCCGGGGAGTGATGCCGATCTCCTTTCTTTTTCTTCTCCTTCACATCTCCGTCAGAGGTCTTCTTCTTGTTGCCGAAGATGGCGGACAGCAAGCCCGAGTCTTTCTCCCTGTGACTTTTGCTGGACTCTCCCTTTTTGCCATCTTTCTTCCGTTCATCATCCAGCTTAATGTCTTCTCGACTGAGCACAATGCTCTCTCTGCCTCGTGCAGGCACAGTTCCATCAATGGAGTTTTGAAGCACATCCAACCTGGCCTTGTCTGCAGAGGCTTTGGAAAGCTTGTTGGACTTGGACGACTTGGTAGACTCAGCACCACCACTGCCATCGTCCTTGGTCTTATCATCGCTGCCTAGTATCCACTTCCAGCTACTCTTCCGGGAGCCATCCTTTTTCTCGGCTTTTTTCTCGTCGAACGTGGGGATCATCGTGAGCGTGGCGGTGCCCATGCTGCCACTGCCCGGAAGGGGCGATGGATTTGATGAAAGATCGTCGAGTTTCGTCGACGAAGCATTTGAACGTCCAGATGCTGGGCGCATATGTGCTCCCCCTCGTTGAAATTGGCGAGGAACTTCGTGTGATGATTTTCGCTCTGGGATAGACTGGACCACATTGCTGGCGGGAACCTTGGAGCCGTCGGCTAGAGTTTCTACAATTTGTGGTAGTGGATTCTTGTTGTCGTAGCCTGGTAACTGGGCAGTAGTTCGTCCTTGAGACGCTATACGAGACTGAAACTGCTTTGGCGGTTGCGATGCGGGCGGCTGCGGTACCGTATGTTCCTCATACTCATAGCGTTCGGGCTCGTTCCTTGATGAGATGCTACTCCTGCTAGCTTCTTCGTTGGAAAGGCTTTCAGAAGACTGCGATTGGCCATACTGATTTGTGCGATCATGTCTCGGTCTCGACTGACCAATCTGGGAATCTTTGGGAGGTGGTATAGGCTCTGTCCTGACTCGAGAAAGTCCAGGTGTGGGCTCTCGGTCTTCAGTGTGCACTGTCGTCGAGGACTGTGATCCATGACCATCTCCCTCCTGATCAGGATGCCGATGCGCCGCACGCTTCGAGAAAGGCACTCTTTCGCCCTTCTTGAGACTACCTCTTCGATACGTCGTCCTGGTCGATCGCTTGAGCGTCCCCATAGCTGGCGGAAGAATAGGCATATCTTCATTTGGGGGCACTTCTGCACCGGAGTCCAATGACCGTCTCTGAGTCTCTAGGCTCATGCGACGCATCAGGTGAGTCGGATCATTGACCAGTTCCTCCAGATCTTGTAGATTAGCTACGGTGGTCTGTCCTTCCACTTGCATGCCTTTTGATCGTTTTCTCTCCAAGCGTTCTGCACCATCCTGATAATTTCCCCTCGTGTCAATCGAATGAGAGAGCATACTCTTCTTTCGACGCAGGCTGCTAGCAGCAGAGCCCGAACGCGATAGATTATCTGGCGCCAGGCTATTCTCATCACCAGATCTCCGACGTATTCGATCCACCCGATCTTCAATGAAGGTCCTGAATTCCTTAGGAGCCAATTCCGGGTGCAGCCGAGCAGGCACCCAGAACAGTTTCGACGGGTCGTCCTCATCACCGTCGCTGGGCGGCGCGACGCTGGAAATACTGCTGACACCCCCAAAGGAGGGCAGATCCGGGTCCGCAGTGTCGACATTCATGGACATGCGCCTAATCGCCTGAAGGTTGCTGAGCTCCTGTGCTACTGCCGCTGGACTCGATTCGTAGTCAATGTCGTTGAGCGGGAACTGCTGCACAGCGGTGTCGGTGCTGGACTGCCTGCTGAGAAGGGGAGGAGATGTTGGAGAACTCTCAGCACCACGTGAGCCTATTCGCTGTAGCGATGTGGGCGAGTTTTGTCCATGACTGTCGTCGTTGCCATGATGCTCCGACAGATTGCTACTAGTAAGACTCTGGTTGCTCTGCGCGCGAGCCAGTGGTGTCGTTGCCAGCGAGTCGTCCGAGATCACAGAGGCATTGCTAGCACTGTTGATGAGTGCGCCATGCCTGCGCTGCCGACGTGCCTCGAAGCTTTCACGCTCACTTGGACTGTTGATATAGCTCAGCGGCCGCACCGCGTGCCGCTCGTTCATGCTGGCTGCAGCAGCTGTGGACGGCGTTTCCTCGTACCACGAATGGATGGTCTCGGTTACGTGGTGGGTGTCATCGGAGATACTCAATTGCGGCGAGTGGCGGGACGGTGAGGACAGCGCAGCGAGGGCAGTGTTGCTGCTGTTGCTGCTGCTGGCGGCGTTGTTCTTGCGGGCGCGGTACAGACGCTCGAGCTCTGCCTGTCGTTGTCGCTGCTGCACTTCTGCCATGGCTTGCCAGGAATGCTGACTCGCTGCACGGTCGTTCCAGCAGCAGCATTCCCCCAGCTCTACCACTACTGCGCTGTGCTGTGTTCGGCAAAGGAGACGGAGACGGAGGATGAGTAGGAGGAGGAGTAGGAGGAGGAGGAGGAGGAGGAGGAGGAGGAGGAGAAGGAGTGAGGGTCGGAGGTAGTGGCGGCGGTGGTAGAGGTGGTGGTGGTAGAGGTGGTGGTGGTGATTGTGGTGGTGGTGGTGGTGATGTTCAGGTCACACATCACTCCGGTCCGGTCATTTCTCACTGGGAAGGGCGGTCGTGCTTTCATGCATTATTCATGCACGAGTGAGCGAGCAAGCGATCAAATATGATACCCGGTACTAAGGGTACTTTTACTTGACGCTTACCTAGGCCACGGCCACCTTTGTGCCTAACTTAGTCGTGTTTTTAGTTGTACCAGGTACCTCGAAGTCGAATTAAGCGGACGGCTCCTCTCTCTCTCTCTCTTTCTCCCCCTCTTCATGTATCTTCTACCTATCCGCCTTCAATACATCCAGCCAGAAGAATATATCTGAACTTCATCGCTGAACAAGTGTACATTCATTCACTACTTCGCACTCCATACGCACGCTCGCACACACGCACGTGAGGAGGTGTACATAAACGCAGCGCGAGTCACGTCCTCATCTCACCGCACCAGCGACATAGATGCAGATACACAACCACCCAAAGCCAGCTCAATTCATGTACAACAGGATCGGTGAGAGCCTCTATACTGAGGTCCGTCTGAGTTCTACTTGGTCAACGTCCTGAGAGGCAATTTCAAGCGTGAAATCAGTCCACATCATTTAAGCTAGCTCTATACATTGATTCCAAGTCCATGTAGGGACGTGAGGAGCTCATCTTCACGTGTTCGAAATTTCATTTAAAACTTCAAAGTATTGCCAGATGGCAATATGCTATAGACCATCCCAGTGCTCAAAGCCGTAGGACAAGCTTGGGATAAGCGCGAGTGTGTTGGAGTCGGCGTTTCACATGCACTAGCGAGGAAGGATCTTGCAGACCATAGCTTGCTTTCTGTCGAAACGTGGCTATCATTGAGTGGCGGAGTCTTCTTCAGACTTCTTGTATTTTGCGGTAAGCTTGACTCGATACTCGATCACACATCGGATAACGCTTCCGAAAGACAAGGCTGTGGCCATTGATATCAAATTAGCTGTTGCCAGAGTATGGAGACGCCTCCAGTGATATAGCTGGGTCGGGGCGCTTCATAAGGGTCAGATAGCGAGGTGCATAGACCAGTGTGGAACATGGCGCCCATTGCGTGAGTCCCAATATCAAAGCTTGGAAGTCTTGCTGCCGATTTCCACCTCCGTTTTGATAGCATCCCGCAGTCTGTTCGCGAGTTCTCTTGCCTCGTCGTCGTCTAGATCTTCCCGAGAGCCCCGCCCAAACATTTTCCTTCATATCGGTCAGCTAACGTTCCCATTGTGCATAATCACCACTCGTACCATGATTTGAGCGCGCTGTCAGTTCTGCCACTATGCTGCGCTTCCTGCCGACCTTCTTGATAGCGCGGGATGAGATGGAAATGAATGTGCGGCACGACTTGCGCTGCACGTTCTCCTGTTGTCAGATGGCGTCAGTTGCGTTTGTAAACGGGTTGTAAGAGTTTGGCAGTAGGGCCCTCAAGAGAATGTCGGGCTATCCCTTGCCCTTCAAATCATCTTCCTACCGTTATTCTGCACCACGTTCCAGTCCTCAATGCCTGTCACCTTGCCTGAAAAATTGCAGATCAAAGGGTCAGCAAGTATCTCTGATGATGCGGACTTGTTCCAGCGACGCTTGGTTGACCAGCTCAGCGTCGGAGTGAAAAGCGAGCTTAGCAAGACAACGAGAACAGGAAATGCCATCGATCGGTCACTCCACCTACAAAGAGCCCTGCTGATGATGGGCAACCACTCGCCGAGGGCTCGGGATGTATCGCGCGCCTCCTCGGCAGCCCGTCGTGCCACCCAGGTATCGTTCGTTTTGCTTGCTGGGAGGTCCCCTAGTGTTCGGTAATGCCTTCGAGTTGTGAGCAGAATATGCCCAGGGGAAATGGGCTATAAAAGTGACAGATTGACGGTAAGCAGGCATCTCTAAAAAGGAGACTGAAAGGGCTTCCAGGTGCTATAACTGACCATAATGTCGAGAAACGCGAGCACCAGCGGCGCGGAGAGGATGAGATGGCACTGTGGGTCAACGCGCTCCGGATCTGGAGACTGAGGCACGTCCGAGCTTTCTGGCGGATACGCAGAACTGATGCGACAGAAAGCGCAAGGAGTCGGATACAGTTCTTCTATGGCAGACATGGTGGTTGTGGACCAATGTTTCAATGACTGACTGACAGCACGGACACAATCAATGAAGGTATGAAGTCGAGATGTCGGAGCCCATCAAGCCGAGGCCGCGGGATTCGGAGGCAGAACCCACAAAAAGGCAATATGAGAATAGGTACCAGGTGTGACTACATGTACAAGAAGATGGCATTTCGATTTGTGACTTGATGGACATGGAATGCCTGAGATGTTTTCTGTGACATATGCTTCCCGCTATTTCTTCGCTCTTCGCTTTCCTTGATTGCGTGGTCTTTCCACTACAACATGCTGGTTCGGATTGCGCTTCTTGCGCGTCTTGTAACCTCCTTTCGCCTACGATACGCGTTAGCATACTGCTACTCGCACATGAGATGGAAATATGACTCACCGGCGTGCCCCAGATGGACACAGGGTGCACATTTCCCTTGCTCTTACCGCGCCCTCCTCCATGAGGATGATCCACTGCATTCATGGCTACACCACGAACCGTGGGTCTGATGTTAAGCCACCTGCTCCGGCCAGCCTTGCCGAGTTGTGTGAAGTGGTGGTGTGGATTGCTCGCCACTCCAATGGTAGCACATGCATCTTTGCTCACTTTTCGCACCTCGCCGCTCTGCAATCTGACAGTCACGTCAATGACCTTCTTGCCCCGTTCTTCTTTTGCAATCACCGTCGCATATGTGCCAGCACTGCGGCAAAACACTGCGCCCTTCTCTGGAGTCGAGCCAACGCAGTAGACCTGTGTTCCAAGTGGCACCATGTGCATAGGCAAGCAATTGCCACGGAATGCTGTTCTTGCAGCAAGAATACCCGGATCGATCACGCCGCCCATGCTTGCCAAAAGCTCTTTCGGTATGCCTGCTCGGAACGACTCCACGGTGTCGCCAGCTCGCATGCCTTCTGCGGCAATAATGTAGCTTTTGACCTTGGTCTTGACGTTCTCCACCAGTGCCAAATGGGCAGACCTGTTGGGGTCATACTCGATTCGTTCCACCAGATGCGTTCCAGGCTCGGCGCGCACGTAGTCCACAGTGCGGATCCTCCTCCGGTGACCGCCACCACGATGCCGCACGGTCACACGACCAGAGTTGTTGCGCCCGCCTTTGCCATGACCAAGCTTCGTGAAGGTCAACTTGCGCAATGGCTTGCCCTTCCAGAGATGGTCGTTTATAGGGCGACGCAAGTGTCGCTGACCGGGAGTGCGAGGCTTGTATGTCTTGAGCTGGAACGCAACCTTGTTGCGCATCGGCATTGGTGCAGTCGGAGGCGTGAAGGCGGTGACATCTTGCGTGTTGATGGCAGCAGCGGCGGCGGCGGTGTCTTTGATGGGCTTTTGGACCGCAGTGGCATAGGTCCGGCGCACGGTAGAGAGGAGAGAGCGGCAGTGTGAGCAGACCGCGCGCGTCCGTGGCTGCAGCATGATCCTCTGACAGCCCGCGTAGTGACAGTCTTCGTCCAGACGAACGACAACAAGAATGGATGTTTCGCAATACTCAACCGCAGAGGCAGCACGATCAAACCAGGCCCAGGATAGGATGCAGGCCAGGGCCGGAGCAGCAGCGCGCGCCAAGCACAAAGCACGGGAGCCTCCACGTCAGCTGACCGGGCTCAGTTGTCCCTCGCAACGACCGCACACAGCGAGACCAGAGCCTGATCAGACGTTGCGATGCCGCAGCCCGCAGTCTGCACTCACTAGAGAAAGCATTGCAAGTAAGCATCGCGGCGAATAGGAGCCATCCCACTGCATCTACTACTCGCACGGTGCGACAGCAGAGGTATATTGTATTGTGTGTTGTTTGAAATTTGCCCCCCGGACACCGGAACAACAACAACAACAACATTGGGACGCGACTGCGGCAAGCCGACATCAAAGCTCAGCCAGCTTGCTCCACTACATCGAAACGCGAGCTTTCTCTTTCTCGCCTCGCGTCTTGACATTCACCCACCACCACACCACCACCATCACCACCACCCTCCACCCTCCACCCTCCCCTCTGGTCTGGTCCACCCTCGACGCATCAGCAGCAGCAGCAGCGACATCACCGCACGCAGCACGGCACGTCTCCGGCCACCGTCGGCGTCGCATCTTCACTACAGCATACAGCGAGCGCATAGCAGCATCGCCATCTTCACGACTTTCCAGCATTCCAACCTGCATACCCCCGACGAGTATACTGGCCGCGAGCAGGACTCTAACTGCTGCTGCCGATCGGGCCTCCTCTACTTGCTAATCCCGCTGGTGAGCCGTCCATCGCGTCCTGCACTGGCGGCGGTGTTTCGCCCAGTCAACACGGCTTGCTGACATAAGCTTTCGATATACAGCAACACGTTCAGCACGTCCCAAACACCAAACTTGCACCAACACGCACCTTTGCGTTCACCTTCGACGCGAGAATACGCGTGTCCTCGCCATACTTAACGATCCCTTTACAATGCCACCCGTGAGTACTATTGTGCACATTACCGCGGCCAACCATTCGCAAACACGCTGACATCATTCCTCTCCAGGCCCGTACTGCCAGGCGGACGGTCACGGACGAGAATGCCGAGAATGCCGGGACGACACGTCTGACGCGTGCCAAAGCTGCTGCCCTCGACCATGCTGGTGCTGGTGACCCACCCAAGAAGGCATTGACTACCAAGCGCACTACTACTGTCTCCACTACTGGCACTCTGGGCGCTCGCAAGCGGACTGCTCTGGGCGACGTCAGCAATGTTGCGAAGAAGGAACTGGTCGACAATGGCGATGCGAAAAAGGAAACTCTCTCGAAAGGTACTTTATCGAAGGCTGTGAAGCCTGCTGGCATTCAAAAACCTGTTGGGCGCACTAGCTCGACGCGTCCTGTCCTCGGTGCGAGACCCGCCAATGCCTCCTCAGAACTCAAGCGACCCGCAAGCGGCTCTGGTATCCAAACTGGCCATGCCATCAAGAAGAGAAACACGTCGACCTCCAAACCCAAGCGTGTCGCCGTTGAGGAGGACGAAGATGAGGACGCGGAGAACGTGCCACCGCCGAAGAATGGCGCAAGTGCTGACAGTATCAAGAAGACTAGCCCGAAGCCGGCTGTCACAGAGCCTGTTGATTTGGAAGAGCACGAAGAGGAGAAGTCGTTGGAAGAGCTCATCAAGGAGGCCGAAGATCTTGACACGGAGGATCTCGGTGACCCACTCATGGTTGCCGAGTACGTCCACGAGATCTTTGACTACATGCGCGAAGCGGAGATTTCGACGATGGCCAATCCCGATTACATGGACAACCAAGGCGAGCTGGAGTGGAAGATGCGCGGCATCCTCGTAGACTGGCTCCTGGAGGTCCACGCGCGTTTCAGGCTGCTGCCGGAGACTCTGTTCCTTGCTGTCAACATCATCGATCGTTTTCTCTCCTGCAAGGTCGTCCATCTCGATCGCCTCCAGCTGGTGGGAGTGACGGCGATGTTCATTGCCTCCAAGTACGAAGAGGTCTTGTCACCACACGTCCAAAATTTCGTCCATGTCGCCGACGATGGCTTCAAGGATACTGAGATATTGTCTGCTGAGCGCTTTGTTCTGGCCACGCTCGACTACGACCTCTCGTATCCAAACCCCATGAACTTTCTCCGGCGTATCTCCAAAGCCGACAACTACGACATCCAGACTCGGACTTTAGGCAAGTACTTGTTGGAGATTGCTTGTCTCGACCACCGATTTCTCAAGTACCCACCATCGCAGGTGGCTGCGGCGGCTATGTACCTCGCACGCCTGGCTCTCGATCGTGGCGAATGGGATGCCACTCTGGCGAAGTATGCAGGCTACACCGAGGGTGACATTCGGCCGGTCTTCAAGCTGATGGTTGACTACCTATATGCCCCTGTTATGCACGAGGCATTCTTCCGCAAGTATGCTAGTAAGAAGTTTCTGAAAGGTAAGTCGGTCTGATCAACTATGACCATCCAATCGCTAACTGTTCACAGCATCCATTGTGCTTCGACAATGGGCGAAGAAGTGGGGGCCAACGTATCTAGATGGCTTTTGACGCACACTCCAGTAGTGGCAAGGCACCTCGGTCGTGGACGTCCCCAGACTATCGCTGACGTTCACAGTACGTGAGCATTTTGTCATGGAGTCGACCGGGGTCCGTCGCTCCCTCGACTTTGGCCGTGACACCCTCTAACCTGGACCTGTCCATGATGGAAAGACTTAGAGATGGTGCACTCGAGGATGCATCAGCAGGGCTCCTCTGCAAATTTGGAATATGTACGGCGTTACTATGGTGGGCACAGCCTTATCGCTACGACTGAAGTTCTGCTATGATTGCGTATCAATATGCCGATACGGGATTGTCGAATGGCATAGATCGCGCATGGAGTCATTTGGATCGGGCGTCTGGTTTTTTCTGCTTGTTTGTTTTTCAGACGCCTGGTATTCGGGGCGCATACAGGCGCCCGCGCAACGATGTGTGTTTTCATGACCAGGACATCTGTGCGGATGATGGTCATCAGATGCGGTAGCGAAGGGATTCGGGTTAGCATAAACACACGGGGTGGAATTTTCTTAATGCACGCCGCCGACGATGCAGTCTCGCTTGCATTGTCATTTTCGAATCTCGTAAGCACATGTACCGCCAGTGCAACCTGAAGCGTACCTAAGGTATGTACCTAGGTAGCATGCTTACCCTGACGTGCCGGTCTCACTGTTGGAAAGGGAATCCACTTTCACGGCAGGAGCGACCATTTTCACAATGGACAGCATCAGGCAAGAGTACGCTACTAGGTACCTGTAGGTAGGTAGGTAGGTAGGTAGGTAGCAACAATGTGTGATTGGGAGAGTACCAGGTACGTAGGTACCTAAGGTTACCGTAGGTAGGTAAGGTAGGCATCGTTATTCCCGAGGCTGGGCACGGTATGGAATGTATACCTTATGCATTAAATATGCACATATATAATGCATATACCTTATGCTAGAACCTAGCATATCCACTGTAGGGTCTAGCGAAATCATGAATACCTTACCTAGGTAGGTACTGTAGGTACCTACCTGGTACTAGGGCTAAGCTGAATCCCGAGTGAAACTTGGTACCTAGGGTCTGGTCTTTAGCAGGTCTCGCAATAATCAGTTCAACGCTCCTGTCTCGGGACTGATGTCGGTAGGTATATACATGTAGTGTACCTAAGTAGTAGATGCGGACCCTAACATGGATCCAGGTGCCAGTAGCATAGGTAGGTAAGGTAGGTATTATTATTGGAATGTCTACAGATACATAAGGTGTACCTAAGGTACCTATGTAAAGGTCAGGTACAGATACCTAGGTAGGTACAGGCAAGGTAGTTAATTACGGGCAGGTATCTTCTGTGCCGCAGGAAAACCTTCATGGCATATTCGGCCGCGAATCGTCCCGACCGGCGTGGGACTCGGACTCTTTACCTGACCTGCCGTTGCGCTCTGTTGAGCATGTTTGAGCGGCGGGCTGCTACATCCACAAGGTACTACTCTCTATGGCCTCCCTGTCGCGGGAGCGTCAGCGATTGAACCATGGCGCTCGAAGCGCCATATGCGAACCAAGTTGTGTGTGTGTGTGTGTGTGTGTGTGTGTGTTAGGAGGTACAAGCATTTGATCCTCCTCCGGCCCAGTACAAGTCAGAGAGGGAGGGGTAACAATATATTTCGCGGCAAACCCGTCATCATCGACGTTGAGGAAGGCCGACGTGGCAGTCGAATCACATCATCTGGGTGGCGGCAGCAAATCAAGCTGAGGTCTGCTGCCGGCTTCCGTGTGCACTGGTGGAGCAAAATGTGGCAGGCGCAGATAGCCCAAGTCCCGTCTCGAGCAGTCCAGTGTGCAGCTGATTAATGATGACTCTAAGGTGTGCAGAGAGATAAGCGAGACAGGGGTCTGTGAGCTCGTGGGCAGACATGGATGGAGCCTCATCGACAAGGTTGTGCTCGAGGCAGGAGCCAGCGCTAGAGACCCGGGCTCCACTGCGTGCTGCTTCTGGAACTTGAACCGAGCAGAAGCGAAGCGAAGCGAAGCGAAGCGGCGCGGAGAGAGAGAGAGACGGGAGAGACGGGAGATTGGTACGGTAGTGGCACCTCCTAGTGGTGGTGGTGGTTCTGCTGCTGCTGATGATAACCTAATGACAGTGGTGAATTGTAAAGGACTGGAACATAGATACATCTAAAGGACATCGACTGGAACATACATATAATAAATACCTGACAGTCCCTGGATGAAGCGGGAAGTACAGTAGGTCAGGTAGGGTCAGGGTCAGGTAGGCTGTAGCGAAGAGCCAAGGCCGAGGTGCGGCTCCGTGTATACTTGGTACAGGCCAGCAGAAACGGGCTCGAAAGGTGACAGGTCGCGCGCGGCATTATTATTATTACCTACCCTTACCACCCTGTCCACCACACGCACTCAAGGGTTCGGCTCGCCATGCATTAGTGCTGTGGACACTAGCCCGCTCTCGGACAAGAACCTATCGCCCGCGCTATGAGGAAGTGTGACGCCGAGTGGTATATGCTGCAGGCAGGACGGACGGACGGACGGACGAGCACTGCACCATCGTCGTCGTCGCCCGTCTCGTTGTCGTCGTCGCCGTCGTCGTCGTCCTCGCCGTCGTTCTCGTCTCCGCCCTCGCCGTCGCTCTCGCCCTCGCCCCTTCGAAGTTACGCCCGCCGTCTGCCCGCTGCCACGGGCGAGCTGCGCAGATTCCAAACCGCACTGTAGTTAGACACCCATAATGCAGCATCACCAGCACTCGCGCCAGCACCAGCCGCAGCCGCAGCCGAGCATGGAGAGCCATCCACCAGAAGCTCCGCTAAACTTGCCCCCCATACAATACGCCGGACTGCAGGCGACATCGTCGTATGGCAGTCAAATGCCTCCTCAGCAACAGCAACAGCAACAGCAACAGCAACAGCAGCAGCAGCAGCAGCAGCAACAGCAACAACAGCAACAACAGCAACAGCAACAGCAACAGCAACAGCAACAGCATGCGCCGCCGCCTCCATACCCACCGCAGCAGTATCAGCAATACCGCCCGCCGGCACCCATGCCCTCGAATGTTGCGACCGCCGGGCAGAACGCCGTGATGCGCTTCCCGCTGCCTCCACAACCTGCGCTTGATGCACGTCAGATGTCGGGAGGACGACATAAAAAGGAGATCAAGAGGCGGACCAAGACGGGCTGTTTGACATGTCGCAAGCGACGGATCAAGGTGAGTGCGACGCGTGCGCCATGTGTTGGGGGTTCTGGCGAAATGCGAGGTCGTCGCGTCTGCGGCGGGCTGCGCCCATAAGCGAGGACCTAAAAAAACAAGCGACACCTTGTTCCATCACGAACCGCTTCCGACAACTCGATCCCTTCCATACCTCCTACCTGTACCTGTACTAACCGTCTGCTCTCAACCACAGTGTGACGAGGGCGTGCCTACGTGTCGCAACTGTCAGAAATCCAAACGCGAATGTCTGGGATACGATCCCATCTTCAAACAACAACCCAGCCCGGCCAACATCCAGCCTGCGCCCAGCATCCACCCTCAAACACCCTCTGCCTCCGCCTCGGCCCCCCCCAATTATCATCCATCCGGCCAATACGGTCCACCACATGCCTACCCAGGCACAGGAGGCACATTCATGCAGGCTGCTGGACTGCCGCGCGCTGAGCACGCTCACTTCGACTCTCACTACGGCAACGGCCCTTCCCTAGACCCTGCGCTGTCGAGTGGCGACCAGCCGCATCACATGGCGCACCTCAACAACTACCCGAATGCGCTGCAGCCCACGCGGACAGGTAAGCGTTGATCCCGCTCATACCTACTCCACCGCTTGTGTCTCTGACGGTCTTGCAGTGCGAGCGATTCGCGTCGACGATCTCTTTTCGCTCAACGACATACCCCCGCGATACAACCTGCGCGAAGCGCCTCCGCCCGTGACATCGGCCAGCCAACAGGAACTGGAGACGTTTTTCAAGTACCACTATGCCATTGGTCTCGATCGGCTGTTTGAGACCACCTGGTACTCGCAGCATGGCCTAGCACAGCTGCATCGCGATGCAGTTCTTCAGGATTTCGTGCTGCAATGTGTCGAGCAATTCCAAGCCCGAGAAGATGCAAATGGGAAGCACATGCAGTCCTTGGAAGCGCGCCTGGTCTGGCTACTTGCAATCATGCCTCGCAGCTCTCTACGCATGGCAAATGGTGCAGCGAATGACCATGTCCTGCAGGAATTACTCTTTCGTCTTGACGTGATTGAGAATCTCCTGACCGGACAATACCTTGATCCCAGCCGAGTCAGCCCTGCACCACCGCACCAGCCCTCAATGCAGCCGGGTACCGACAACTCAGCTGTAAATCAGAAATTTAACGAACGCGCTTTCTGGCATCATCTCGCGAGATTCGTGGCAATGCGCGACGACAGCCCGCACGTGCAAAGAGAAATCGACGACGTCCTCGTCACGCTGCGAAATCTTCTTCATATGCTAGAGAATCGGGATGTGCTCTACTCCCTAGCGGTGGCGCGGCATATCGGAGGTCGAATGCCAGACTGGCGCCCACAGGGACAGCTCGTGGCCTCTTCGGATGACCCGAATGATCCCGTGAGCAAATTGAGGGTAGCTCAACAGTTTATTGAATCTGAAGACCAAAGAGGTACGACGCAAGTGATTCAGAGATTATGCTCCATGGCGATTCGCGCTTGGGGCTTGCAGAAGCAATAAGTTTCGTTGCTCCTTTTACTTCATGTCCATACTTTACTTCTCGGCTTTGCGTGCTGCACGGATGGTAGGTACATTTACCTGTACCTAAGGTAGGCACGACGGGTCACGAGTTATTCGTTCCGTGCTCGCCATTTCACAGTAAGGCCACAATGCACACCAGACCCTGTGCGGGCATAGTCTCAATTGCGCCTTGTTTACCATATTGTTTATTCGCCAACATCATCACCACCATCATCATCATCATCATCGTCGTCGTCGTCGTCGTCTCTGGCAGTGACTGCGCAAGAGTAAAAGTACAGCTGCGATGAAATTTTACACCGCAGCAGACTTCCACTACAGGGTACAACGATCATGTATCCCAGCACGGTAAGCAGCTAGTACGACAGGAAAAGACATGAATATGCTAAGGTAAGCAGCTACAGTATGTTATTGCCAGTCCGGAATTCAAACGCGCTGTGATCGTTCATAATACACACCCCACCCCCGCCATCGAGTCGTAAGCTCTCTGATTCATGTGGAAAATGGATTACCATTGCCAACCTTGAACAAGTTATTCCGACCTTTCGCATAACTTGCGCCTGGCGCAGTTCCAAAGCACGACAAATGAGATTCTGTATGCCCATATTTTCTTTCTTACAGTTCCACTTCATTCGAGTATAGGCAGGGCGACACCGACCAGCCGGCGTGAGGACCATAAAAGACATGTACAAGTTGCAAATTTTCGCACGGAAAAGCTCAGGCGGTGGCCGCAGCGGCAGCTTTCTTAACATCCGGCGCTCGTCCATATGCCCGGGTATATTCTTCGGTCCAGCGTTCGTGGTTTTGGTTGTACAACTTTTCGTACTTCTGTGAATCGTTAGTTACACAGAAGGCTTGGAAGATTTCTTCATAGCACGTACACTTCTCTCGCTCTCGCTCAAGGCCTTCCATTCTTGGGAAAGCAGCTTGGATCGATCCGGGACTTTGATATGTGTGAAATCGCCGCTGGCTTGACGATTGCGACTGAAGATCAGATAGGCACTCTCAGGACGCTTCGGGCGCCGCTGATCTTGTAGCTCAGCCCATTTTGAATTCTGACTGGGGAACTCGCGACGGAGCTGGGCCCGGGCCAGGTTCGCGAGCCGAATCTGTTCTGGTGTGTATGACTCGATCCATCGCTGGTACTCAGCCTCGGAAGCCTCTCTTTGCGTGCGTTGCAGATGGTTGTAGTGCTACGTAGGGACAGTCAATATATCGGATGGGACATCCATGCGACGGCGCCTTACCTCCAAATCTGCGGCTGACAGCTCTTTCCATTTCATAGCAGCCTCTTTAGTTCTAGCAGTGGTTGTGGCATTGGTATCAACTGTAGCTTTGACATGCTCTGACCAATACAATTGGTAAGCAGAATAGTACACCACCCTACGTGGCGCATCCGGCAGGGCTGCAGCCTTCAAGTCTTTCAACTTGGCCTTCTTCCGATCACTGGACTTGCGAAGTGCCGCCTTCGCTTTCAGGGCAGCAGCTCTTGCGTCCTTCTTTTCTGCCGCATCCTTTTGCTGCTTCGCTTTTTCGGGGGTCAGAGCACGTGTGCTGGTTGGGGTGCGCTTCTTTGCTGCGACCTGACCTTTGGGGGCGGAGTTGCCATCAGCAGGTTCGTTCGCGGCCTTCTTGACCGCTCGTTTGACAGGTCGAGACGGTTCGCCGACGACGCTCTTGGGGCGGCCTGGCGTCGCGTATGATCTGGTCTTGACGGACGACGCGAGGGCGAGGGCGAAGGGGGCGCGCACACCAGCGGCAGCACGGTCTCGCGGCGAATGGAGCAGCACGAGTGGCATGCGCGAGCGCACGGGAAAGCGTAACAGCATTCGCTCGAGCATTGCGTGAATTTGCTGTATACGCTGTTGACTGGTGTCGCTGCCGGCGTTGTTGTTGTTGTTGTTGTTGTTGTTGTTGCCAGATGCTTGGTTGGGCGTCGCGTGCAGCTGCCCTGACAGCTAAGGTGAGCTCGCTCAGGTTCTTGCCTGTAGGAGGTAGGCTGTCACGGACTCACGGTGTGTAACTGTGTATGATATGAAACCTACCAGGCTAGGCAATACCGGTTTATACGACGATATCATGACCCTCCCCCAGCATGGAGCTCGGGCTGCTCGGCGAACCATCGACCACCTTGGGGAAGCAGCCGCAGCGACGGGAACGAGTAAGCAACGATGATGGCTTAATCAGCGATAGCGACCTTATAGCTCCGCATAAGCAGGTGGAGGTAGGAGGTTTGGGAGGTACAAGCAATCGTGAAATGGGACCACAGTGCCAACCTAATCAAAAAAGCACTGGATCTCACTGAGTCACTGCCACACCCGCGACCCCAAATTATTGGTCCGGTTACATACCTATCTAGGGGGTGATGCAATCCGCTTAGATAATCGAGGTCTCGAATTTGTCTTGGCGACAAGAACTTCTATTCCTCGAAAGACCAGACCGGGCTGTTCCTCACTACATACTCAGCCCACCTCGTTCAAATCAACCCTCGCCCAACATGAAAGTCGGAAAGCCACAGTCGAAACGCGTGTCGGTGCGCCTGCGACACAAGATCCAGAAGCATTCAGCCAACAAGCAGCGCAAAGATCGCAAAGAGGCAAAGAAAAACCCACAGTGGCGCTCCCGACTGAAGAAGGATCCGGGCATCCCCAATTTGTTTCCCTACAAAGATAAGATCTTGGCTGAGATTGAGGACAATAAGCGCACGAAGGAAGAAGAAAAAGAGCGGAGGCGGCAGGTCGCCAAGGCGCAGAGAGAGGGCGGAGCGGAGGATACTACACCCGGCGTCGTGATAGATGAGGAGTTGGAAGAGTCACGCGACGCTGACGACGACGACGACGACGACGAAATGGATGATAGGGAGGATGTGAATCCTATGGCCGCTCTGGTGGCATCGGCTTCGCACAGAGCCCAAGCATACACTAGACAGGACGACGGGGTCGGCGATGATGATCAAGACGATGCAGAAGATGAGGTCGAAGTCACATCAAAGCCTGTAGCCAACACAGCGGAGTCCGCGAAAAAGAAGCTTCCCCAACAAGTCATCGATGATCCTGTGAAGCCCGTGAATAGGCTTCTCGCACGACTCCAAAAGACGCCAGATGGGATACAACAGTTGCTAGAGTTTTATCAGCTACCCCCACTTGTCACCGCTGGAAGCGATGTCACAACCAGATTCTTGGTCGATGTCGCAAGAAAGCGAGGTCGGCTGAGTCGTGGTGGCGTGCCGAACCTGCACGCCGCGGCCTTGACTGTGCTCAATGACCTGCAAGAGCAGAGGCTCAAATTGCCAGCACTACAGCAGTCAAAACCGTCAGCTGCAACATCCAAGAGCGAAGTACAGGTTGTGAGTCGATTGGCGGAGCCATTCAGTATCGAGGGACTATTCAGCCAGGGTCCTGCGACTGCCGGGGCGATGGACTTGGGCGCTTGAGTCCCTTAAGCTACAAGCTGTCATAAGTTTTTAATGCCGGGCATTCATTGTGCGCAAGAAACATGGCAGTGGGGACCAACAAGAAGCGTCATTGACGATGGAGTCTTAGCATAGACTATGAATCGGCTCACCGAGTGAGCTAAATACTCAATGCAAATATTTAGTCTCTTTGTGGCAGACCTCTGCTCAATACCCATGTGGCACACTTCCCTCTTTTGGAGAGGTCTCAAGGACAGTCGCCCTGGTGAAGCTCCTTTTTGCTGATTTCACCACACTGTACTCGACCATAGCGGTGTTTCAGATATTCTGGACCTTTTCCCGGCATGTTCGGGTCTGGCGTCTAGTATACACATCTTGAACGAGACTTGAAATTACTGCTTCGACAATAGCAGAGCTTCTATTGCCTGCTGCGCATCTTTGGGGAGAGCCTCTTCCGATTTTTCCAGCGCAAGCTTGAGACGATTGGCCATTTCCTGAGTGCTTGTGCCATCGAAGTCGGATGACTGAACCGCGAGCAGACAACGTAGCGCGGGCAGATACTTCTCTAGGATGTCATAGTTAGCACTCCATGTTCATCTCGGGACAGGCCAGACCACTTACTTCGTCTGATGTAGACCTCAAAGCCCGCAGTCTGGGCATGAATGTTGCGTGGACTCAGTTCCAGAAGTGGAGTCACATATTTCATTGCCTCCTCGAGCGGTTTCTCGCCCGCCTGCTTGAGTAGATCAAGACCTTGTGGGTCCTTGTCTTCTTTTCGCGCCGCCTCATCGTCATCTCCTTTAGCATTGGCCTTCTTTGCAGCTGCTGCTTTCCTGTCGGCTTCAGCCTTCTCGCTTTCCTTCCTCGCCTTCTTTGCGGCTTTCTTCTTATCAGCCTCACTTTGTGGACTTGCCTGCGCAAGCTCTGGACGATCGAATAGCATGCAATATATTTTGATTGCTGATAACGCAGCCCGGGTGAAAAATGGGTGTTCACGTAGCTTGTCTTCCCATCTGATCATCTCGATATAGGCGCGCATCATGCCCCTCCTCAACGAAAAGGTGTGGAAATCGAACTGGTCCTCTGTCCAGACCTCGAAAATATCGTAGACAGCCTTGAAGCGCTTGAGCGCTAGTGAGAGATTGCCCTGGCGAAGATAAGACTCGCCATCTTCAGTGATATACCATACACACTGCATGTCCAGAAGATCGCCTAGGGGTCCTCCCACCGCTTCGTTCCGTGTGAATAAGCCCATAGTATCGATGGCAGCCTGGTGCTCATCGTTACGAAGCTGGTATTTGGCACATTTGGTGTTGATGTATCTGTCTCGAAGGTCCATCTCCCGCGCAGCATTCATTGCTTTCGATGCAGCCCCCACATCGCCTTGATTCTTCAATATCCGAGCACGAGTCATCTGGTAGGTGTAGTCACTCTTCGAAGTGTTCAATGATATAGCTTTCTCAATGTGTTGTTGTGCCTTGTCAAGATCGCGTGAGAGGTAGTAGTTGTAATGTTGCGCAAGAAAGTAGTTCACGCTGAGTGACCACGTTGCGGACTGCTGGGCAGAGCCTGGCTTGGCTGTGCCATTGGTAGTACCATTGACTTCTTGCGCCTCAGCACCACCATTGACCTGTGCCTCTTCTTCGAGATATCCCTCTACGAGACCCTGTATCGTACGGCGCTTGTCCTCATCAGCATATAGCTGCTTTACGTTCGCGAAAGTGCTCGGCACGCCCTTTGCAAGTGCTCTGCGCAGGTATGAATCTGCATGCTGTCGGAAGGCGTCCCCGCGCAGAAAGTCCAAAGGTATACGACGGGCAGCATCTGTCCTCGAGCTCTTGTCTGCGAAGCTCTGGTAAACAGCTAGCAGCTTTTCGTGATCTTCGCTCTTTGTCCGATCCAGTCCAAGCGCTGCTTCGAGACCGTGATAGTAAGCTCGCTTCTCTACATTCCTGTGCAGAAGCGCACGGTACGCCTTCTCGGCGTCGTCTTTTCGACCAAGCTTGAGCAGATACGCAGCCTTTGCTTCCTTGACTGCAGTCTTGTCCAGTGCGCTCTTTTGAATGGACTCGAGGTGTTCCAGCGCACGTTTGTAATCGCCCGTCTCAGCTATGATAGTGTTCCTATACAGTAACGCCTCTGCGTGTTCCATATCGTTCTTGGCAGGCGGCTGCTTCAGAGTCTCTTCGTACTTTTGCAAAACATCTTCAGCCTTGTCCAAATCTCCATTCAAGTGCAAAGCCACAGCCAATGCAGTCCAGTTCTGCCTCAAGGCTGGTTTCGACTGGAGCATCTGATTTCGACTTTGCACAAACCCGGGGTAGTCTCGCATCTGCACCTGCAACAATGCCAAGTCTCGTTGGATCTGCACGCTGTCCGGGTCGAGTCGCAGTGCAAAGCGGTAGGCCTTGATGGCTTCCTCGTAGTTTTTCACACTGCGCCAGAGCAAGCCGTAGACATGCCAGCAAATATGCGATCGCATGGCATTCTTGAGGGCCAGCTTGCACAGCTCGAAGGCCTCATCTGACTTGCCCTGATTGTTGAGTATCAAGGCCTTCATCGATTGTGTATCACCATGGCTCGGGTGCTTTTTCAGGATCTGCTCGGCGGCTTTCAAGCCCTTTTTGTACTGCTTCGATTCGTAGTTCTGCACGAGGTGTCGGAAGAGCGTCTGCTCCTTCGATGGAAGAGGTTGTGCCATTGTTCGCTAGGGGCACAGTCGTTGTTATTGAAGCATGAATGTCGTAATGGTGGTGGTCGTGTCGGTGTTTGTGGCCGTAGGTACTCGTGGTTGCGGTCGTGGGGCGGCTGAACGAGGCTCGTGCAAAGAGCTGATGGATGATCAGTCAAAAGTGTATAAGCGCCAAGAGAAATATAGTACCAATGCGGCAATGCGGTCACGACGAAATAGGAGGTACAACTGGAAGGTACAGAAAGTGAATGCAAGACGTTCATACTCAGTGTTATATCGCGCACATCTCTGCCCATGAAAGAAGACACAACGCCTTGCAGAGTCCCCTCCGGAGTGCAGCAACCTTGCTCTCATGGCAGAAGCATGGAAAATGGCACAGGACATCAGCACGCTAGCCATGGATGAGACGCTAATCCGGCACAACATCCATCCTGCCAAACTCCCTTCTTGCCTGTTGTCCTCGCTGCTTGTCCTGCTGCCGCAAACTCGAGTTTTAACATGCCAATCATGCGCACGGGAATCTAGCCAGTCCATGTGCTTCTTATAGATTCGTGCTTGGTCACTGGATGCGTAACGGGACGGCGCCGTCTAGTTGTGACCAGCCTTGCGCAGCGAGTTACTCAACCACTCGAGACCCTCGTAGAGACCGTCACCAGATGTGGCGCAGGTCGATTGGATGTACTGAAGACTTGGTCAGCTTTGGAGCAGAAACACACAACAATCATGTCCATAGGAGTACATACCCAGGCGCGTTGCCTCAAGCTGTGCAGTCCGAGCTTGTCTGTAATCTCTGCAGCATTCATAGCATTTGGCAGATCCTGCTTGTTGGCAAAGACCAAGAGCAGAGCGTCACGGAGCTCGTCCTCATTCAGCATACGTTGCAGCTCCTCGCGGGCCTCGACCACACGATCGCGATCGTTGCTGTCGACGACGAAGATGATGCCTTGGGTGTTCTGGAAGTAATGCCTCCACAGAGGTCGGATCTTGTCCTGTCCACCGACGTCCCATACAGTGAACTGAATGTTCTTGTACTCAACCGTCTCGACGTTGAAACCTGCACAAAATGAGTGTCAGTGGCTGGAAATTGGGCATCAAGCCGGAGGAGCCCACTACGCACCAATGGTCGGGATGGTGGTGACAATTTCGCCCAGCTTGAGCTTGTACAAGATGGTAGTTTTTCCAGCTGCGTCCAAACCGACCATCAAAATTCTCATCTCCTTCTTGCCCCAGAGGCGGTCAAACAGCTTCGAGAACGTGAGACCCATGATGGCGGCGCGGTGGGTGGTGTGTGGAGGGTGTGGTGTATTTCTGCCGGCAGGGCTGAATGTGCGTGAGTGCGTGCGTGCGTGCTATTGAACCGAACTACAGATCGTGCGAGTCAGTTGGGCGAAGTGTGCAGCAATTGAGTGGGCATTTCACAAGCGCGGGTTGTGGAATGCGACTGCCTTGGCAGTGAGATACAGGTGTTCTTTCGCTGTTGGCTTGCCCGAGTAGGTGGCTCTGGCTGCGTGGACCGGAGAGCGCATCGCAACGGGCCAGCAAAGCGCAGGCAGCAAGCAGGCAGCCACGGCGGGCGGAAGCGGCGACTGGGAGCAACTCACCTGCGACAAGTAGTGCCCGGTCAGTGAGGTGGGGAGGATGGGAGTGGTGGGGGTGGTGGTGGTGGTGGTGATGGTGATGGGGATATCCAAGGTGTGGCGTGGTTGAGCAACGTGGTGTCGCTCAAGCGGTTTCGCTGCTCAGGGCAGGGTCTATTTTACTTGGCGCAAATGGGATTGGGGAGGGAGGTCCCTCTCCGGTCCCCTCTCAGGCTCTCACCGCCGGCCATGGCCATGGGTCCACGGGTGAATAATGAAATACCTGAGCTGACCTTTAACTACATGTACCTACCTTACCTACCTAGGTACCTACCTTACATGTACCTTGGGTAGAACTAAAGGCATCGCACGCCAACTGGAATCCTTTTCAACAATCCTTCGCAGCTTCGCTCTGCGCAACGCCGGCGCCCATCACATCCGCAACCTAGGAGGTACCTAGGTAGGTATGATCTTACTACTACTACCTGTAATTTCTACCTGTCCCGTACTACCGTACTCCCGCTGCCACCAGTGACCACCGGCGCTCAGCGCTGAGGTGCGTGTAGAATAAATAATAAAATACCTTACCTATTACATGCATGATACATAAGGTAACCTGGAAGGTATACCTTATGTACCTACGATACGGTACAGTACCTGATCCAGTCTCACTGCCCGGATCGTCCGTTCGTGACACCCGGGATGAGGCGACAATAGACGATAAGCGCGTCTGCCCCGTCTCCCGTCTGCTCTCGGTGCTCTGCAGACTGCCACCCTAACTAATAAGGTACCTAACGTACATTAACCCCCTTCTCCGGCCCTGTGGAGCTGGGCGGTAAGGTAGCACAGCCGCGCAATGTTCACTCACCACCGCCCCGTCCTCACGTGTCTCTCACGCGCCTGCACGCTTTCGTGCGCTCGACGTCCTGTTTGTAGCGAGCCTTTCCACTTAGCGACGACGCTGGCAGTGCTTGTGAGTCTGCACACTGCTGTTTCCTCGCCTTCCATTACCTACTGTACCTTTTTCATTCATCGCTGCTGCCCTGGCCTCCTCCCCTCCATGGATGAAACCCAGCCTGGGTCCTGGTCGCTCACGATGCGGTGACACTCACCGCTCCTGAATATCAGAACTATCATGGCCGCATGTGTCTGTTCGCGTTCCTCATATCTCGCCATGTCTGTCGTCGACTGACTGACTCGCTTTCTGTGCGTTCGTCCGCTTCGCCATCGCCATCGCCATCGCCATCGCCATCGCTTGCTTCATCATGCCCTCGAGAGCCGCAGTCTACTCCCAACAGACCGCCAGGCCCTTCTTTGGTCCTGCTCGGCCACCACAACCACCACCACCACCACATGCCGCCAACAAGCCCAAGATCGATCGCAGACCAAAGCTGGCACTCCTCCAGCTCAACAAGCAGCCTGCATTTGAAAGGACCTTCTCTCGCTTGTTGTCTGGACTGTCTGAAAAAGCCGACGTCGACTCCGTCACCACCGAAGCCCAGGCCAGTGTGCTTTTCAGCAGCAATCTCTATCCCATCATCCTCGCAACCGACCAGGCTCTGGCGGAGCCCAGATACGATGCATTGAGGGATGAGGCTCGGCAATTCGTCCAGAACCATGGCGGCACTCTGGTCTTTTGTTGCCATTTCCCGTCTTTCGTCCATGACATGGACGCCATGAAACTCTTCTCGTCGTTCGGCCTCTACTGGAGGACAGGCGAATATCAACGCGCCGAGTATACCATCAATCGAGCTGCCCGCCGCACCGATGCGGCTGCTCTCATGTCACGATACAGTCCGGAGGCTCGTCACCTTTGCGATGTTGATCCAGCGGACGCAATCTACTTACCTGCACCCGCAGCTTGTGTCCAATCTTGTGTCTGGCCCCCATCCACAAACAAAAGCCAGACCCCAGCCGCGTTGACAGGAATTGGTCTCGGAAAGCTTGGCTACCTGGGAGATGTGCACGGAGACGAGGGCACCATGGAGACTGTGCTGATCACCATGTGTGGTCTGCGTTAATAAGATGGTGCGGCTAAAGGCGTCAAAGCGGGTTCTGTTGAACAAGAATGTGCCACGCATGTGAATATTTGATCATGGAAGTATTGTGTCTCGGAGCGTCAAAGCGATAGAATCTATTGGAGTCCTCACGGAATTGGATGTAGGTGTCGGCCTTGAGTCTAATGCTAAACATGGTTCTCTTCCATCGAAGGGCTATTCAATATGTGCTGTCCAAACGACTTTGTCATGGAAGGACTCAGGTAGTCCTTACAGGCAGACACACACACACATCTTGGCTTGCTCAACTACCTTACCTTGACCGCTGTCCGTTTGAGAAGAATTGCTTACTGCCAAGGTATTTGATGACCTGCAATGCGAGCTGGTCTTGATCATCCCGATCGCGCTCCAGCAGACGCCGATGTATACTTTTCCTGCTGTCATAGCCTGTTTCGTCCAATGCAGGTGCAAACGGGTCGCTCTTCTGCAAATCAACCTTGCGCTTATGCTCCAGTCCGACTCTCTTTGGAAGCTCATGCTTGAAGCGACACGTGCTGCCATCGCGGCAGTACCCGCTCGCCACAAAGTATTTGCACGGCGTATTCATCGTCTTCGCCGCATTGTGCTGCTTGAACGTTGTCTCTTCCGGGGGGTCCTCGCTCGAATCTGGGTCTGACGCATCGTTGTTACCCGTGGGGATTGTCTCGTGTTCAACTTGACTAGCATCCAGCCTTCCGTGTTCATTACTTGACGCTAAATGAGCATCTAGTCTTCGCTCGTCTGCAATTCTCTTGCCGTGTGTAGACTCGGCACCTGCTGCCTCAATCGCCGGATCCGGGATGAAGATAGATGGTCGAGGTTGCAAACTCTGTGCGGCAAGATTGTTGCTTTCGCTCGCGGTCTTGTTGTGCGACAGCGCCCCATCCACGGAGCTCGATTCTGCATTCCTATCTACATGCGGCTCGCTGGAATCAAGCTTGGACCTGGTCGATTGGACGGATGCCTGGGTACGCAGTGACGGCGATGGCCTGTTCGATGACAGCTCTGCGCACATGGCGAAACGTATTGCCTCACTAGCCTCTGTGAGCAGCCTCTTGCGCTCCAAACCAATCTGCCTCTTCTCGGCATGTTTCTGGCTCAAACGGTCCCTGGTAGGAAAATTGGCTCGTCTCGCACTTCGCCAGGCCATCAGATCTGCCACTGTATTCAGAGTTCGCATTTCCCCGTTCGAGTCATGAAAGGTCAGGTTCGGTCCAAGACCATGTGCTAGCATAGCTTCCTCGTCAAGGCTATCGTCTTCACAGTCGCTTTCCGAGGACGTGTAATGAGGGTCAAGATTTCCTGGCGTCAGACCAAGTACATTTTCATTGTAGTTTTTCGGTTGCTGCGTCTTCGCTGCAGGTGCACGCACAGGGTCCACTCGACTAGGCAGCACTGGTGAAGATGTCTCCCGAAGTCTAGTCAAGGTCTCGCTACTGCGTTTGTGCTGCACTTGGGCGGAGACTCTGGACTCGCGTGTTTGTGGTCGAGATTGAGCGCCTTGAAAGCTATCCAGCTTTCTTTTAGAGCCACCACCATATGAGCCACCTGATCCTGTGTGGGCATCTGCAAAAGCGAGCGACCCAGAGGCGGGTGCGGGTACTTGACCAGGTTGCCTTGGTTGAGATGGCCTAGACTGAAGTTGTTCATCAGGCGCACTTGCATTGGACATACCAGTGCCCTGTGTTGCTGCGGGCCGCGCGAAAGCTGGGTTGACGTACGAGCCAGGAGGTATATGGGCCGGAGTCGAGTACAATGCCCGATCGGAGTACAAACTTGCTCCTGCTGTACCTCGGAAGTTTCGTGGAGGTGCACGTATTGAGCACGCAGAGGTGTGAGTGCCGTGGTCAGAGCCTGTAAGTGTGTCGCTCTGCCCGCCATGTCTTCTTCCTCTGCCCCGAGAACTGGACTGGTCACGGGAACCTACCTGGAATGATGCTGGACCGTTCGAAGGCGGCAATGGAGGCGGCGGCGGAGGAGGGAATTGGAACCCGCTCATCTTCGCGCGCACAATCACTGAAGCATGCGAGCTGTCATATGCAGGCAATTGTCGTGCACCGTAAGATGCGGAATACCTTAGAGTGCGTATTGGGCGAGAAGAGAAGAAGGTGTGGGTTGCTGCTGTCGGCATTTCTTCGGGCGGGAGCTGGTACCTTTTGTCCTAACGGTCGACTCTTCTTTTTGTGCACCAAAGCAATGCGAACACACCACATCAACCAACATGTATACTCTGGTGAGCAGCCGAGCGCACTTGGCGTGATAGAATATCTGATTAATAGAAGTCAGATCACACTTGCGGATGTGGTCCAGATACATCCGAACGACTTTCACAAGCCTAGCATCCGCTCGATTGAGGATTTCATCAACACCAAATATGCAGACAAAGTCATTCACAGAGTTGGTTTGTGCATCGGCTTTCATTCTCTCATCTCTGCCTCGGAAGGACTCATTGGCCACGGAACTGGAATTGTCAACGTGAACGTTGATTTCCGACTCGTTGTGTTCCGCCCCTTCAAAGGCGAGATTATGCGAGCCACAATCACGCAGTCCAGCCAGCAGGGCATCTACCTGTCAGTGGACTTCTTTGAGGACCTACTTGTCCCACCAGAGACGTTGTTCGAAGGCTCTACGTGGGAAAAGGACGACAGTGGCACCATGACTTTTGTTTGGCGCACTGAGGCTGGCGGAGGGGCGCATAACGAGTTCTTTTTCGACAATGCAGAAAGTTGTATGGTCCGAATTGAGGAGGAGCAGTGGCACGATGTCTCTCCAGATGCTCTCAGAAGCCAGAGCTATGTGACGCAGGAAGAAGAAGAGAATGCAAGTCGCATGCCTCCTTACCTGGTCAGAGGCAGCATGATGCACACTGGACTTGGCCCAACGCTATGGTGGATTGGGGAGCCTGGCCTCGAGGATGAAGCTACAGACGGAGTGATGAATGGCACCTGAGCCGTCCAAGTATAGGTTCCGTCCCGACCGCGGACTATGTGCAATTCTCATTAGCTAATAGCCCGATCACCCAAAGATTTGGACGGGGTCGCCGCTTGGTCGTCAGATATGGCGGCTTCAAATGCGCTATACACAAATGTGGCCCACAAGCCAACGAATATGAATCAAGAAGACCCATCCGTTTGAGAACGAGCTTCGCGGGCGTGTGTTGTAACGGAGCTAAGTCATTGGACGCCTAGGGCTAATCACCCTCTATTGAGACGCTGAGGAGGACGCGGTCCTGTCAACGTGCAGGAAGCGTCGCAGGCCGGATGGCTCCCCATTGTGTACGTGTAATCGCAAATGCTTGGTTCTGTGATTCCTCACGGGAGCACACTCCGATACAATTTAGCTAGAAAATACGGGATCAGATAGAACCTTGAAGCCATTGAATGTGATACGTGGAGTGCCAAAGTTCGTGATATACCTGTACCAGGCCAGGTACCTAGGAGGTATGAGGCTATGAATGTCGCGTCCCTCACAACTCATTTTCCAGTCCAAGGCTACTCCCGCATTCTCCACTTCACCTTCTGGACCTCGTGCACACATTCAAGATCACCAGACGGACACCGCGCGACTCCCATTGAACAACATGCAGCCTGTCAGAAGGACAGCGGTGCGCTCTGCGCAGAGACTGCGTCTCAGGCCCGAACGTCGTCAACGACGCTTTGCCGGAGACCACCATGGCCCAGAGCTCGTCTCTGAGGGCCAAGCTGCCCACGCAAAGCATCCCCCCAACCCAAACGAGGCCTTTGGTGTACGTCTCCCTCCGCAATCCCTTTGATGCATGGCATCGGCAGTTTGGAAGAAAAGTCGGCGGGAATGTGCATCCTGGGGGCGACAAGAATAACACCATGTACAGGCCGGCTTCTTCATCACACTTGCGGCACTACCTGTGTCGCTTGCAATCTACAAGTTCACCGCGCAAGGCACGAGTGATCAGCCCTACTTTACGCGACTCATCAAAGACACTTATGCCGAGTATGCTATCAAATGGGCACGACGGAACGACATTCACACGCAAGCCATGCAGCAGGCAGCTGCAGACCGTGTCCTATTCCTGAACGAGCCGAACCAGCAAGTCAAGACTGTTGACCTGCGATTTCCCGAGTATGTTAGGTCCCTTTGGTCAAGTCGCAACAGTTTCGGCACGCTAATCTAGCAACTCCAGGCTCGTGAATGCGGGATCACCATACAATGTGCCTGCTGGCCGCGGAAGCGCCAATCTGGACGAGCTGATTGCCAAGTACGAGAAAGAGGCGAGAGATGAGAATGAGAAGAAGCTGGAGCAGCTGAAGAATAACACAGTGCCTGTCGAGCAGCCGGTGGTACAATTTAGACGGGTGGACCCAGCAGTCACCACGACACCGGCCAGCTGAGTCGGCCACTTGATTTAGTTGGGTATCTATGCAATCACTCGACAACCTCCTAAAATGCTGCTACTGCACATCTTGATGCGCAATAGCGCAGTCGTGCTCCTCATCTTGCACTAACGGCTGGTGTGACACATCCTCTTTTCCGCCGCCGCCGGCTTTTGTGGCAGTGATCACGCTCCTCAACCACGCAGTAATGCGGAAAGCTCTCGAACCAGTGAAGAAATCGTATGTACACAATTGTTCAGCCTATACTCCGTCAATTCCAAGTCCATGTCGAACGCCACCTGAATGTCCGGTATCACCGTGCTTCATCCATATCACTTCGCTTCTTTCATGCCTTTCCTGCAGTTTTCACGGTGCTAGTGTGAGGCGCCGCTGCTGGCTGGGCTGGCGCGTCAGGAATAGGAACATCGGAGAAGTCATCTTGACCAATGGCCTTGATCGTCCATGTGTCTGCGGTCATCAGCGGCCGTTTCGAAACTCGGTGGCTAAGTGCAGCACCTACAGACTCCAGCGACGAAACCAAAGATGGCCAGTCCGGTCACGGCGTTCTTGATGAGGTACGGTTGTCGGGCTCGGTAGAGGGCTGCGGTGGGACGATTGCGACTGTCGTAGTAGGAGGACTGTGGTAGTCTATACCGTGTCAGTAGAAATTGATCACTCACAGGATCGGTACCAGATACATTTACCTTCCAAGAGGCATTTTGATCGGCTATGGTGCTTTCAAAATAGGTTTCGCAAGTGGTCGATGAATGTAGAGGTAGGTACCTACCTGGTGGTCAAGTACCAGGTAACTTTTGCCTTGCTTGGCCTCTCCGCGTTATTCCACCTCAGTCTTGTGCACTACATGTACCTACCTACCTTGCCTAGAACACATACATCCACCTTCACAACCTTCTACCGCCCACTACAACGCAACTACCTCTCACATCCATCCACACACCCACACACCCACCCACACGCTCTCAGCTTCTTGCGCTCGCCAACCTCACCTTCTACAGTATCCACCGCAATGCGCCGCACAGGGCGGGATTGGAGTACGCGCCGGACACTGTAGTTACATAGCTGCTTTCTTTGCCTCGTGATCTCCCTCAACCCCGGCGTCGCGCGGTGTGCTGCTGTTCGCAGTCGCGATGGCGCACGCAGAAGCTGCAGCGCTGCAGAATCTTGAGGCCGCCCGCAGAATCGCGCTCAAAGATCACACCTTGTACCCTCAAGTAGTGCCCGGAGTCATCACGGCCATTGCGCCTACAGCATCCCTTGAGCTGCGGAGATGGGGCGCAGAGTTCCTGGCAGAGACATTCGCGTCGCAGGTGGTGACAACAGATGAGAAGCAGCAACTATCCCTGATCGTGCTTGATACGCTCAAGGGCTACCTCAGTCGCAAAGAGATGACAGGCGAGGACGAGGATACCAGTGTCGTGAAGAGTGCTGTGCAATGCGCCGCGAGCATATATCCGCAGGTATTCAGACATACGGTCGGCAATTCGTCAGACAATGAGACCTGGCCGAAGATAGCTGCGATCAAGAGCAGTATATTGCGGAGGATGGACACTGCTCTGCCTGGAGTACGAATATGTTGTATCAAATTCGTGGCTGCGGTGGTGCAGACGCAGACGCCCGGGCTGATAGCTGATCCTCGACGACCAGAAAACAACGAGATCAGTCTAGCATTGGTGCCCAGAGATCATCCTATCATCCCACCTGCAAACTTGGAGGCAGAGGCCTCAGGACTATTGGACAGGCTTCTCGGTGTGCTACAGGACAATTCAAACGATCCTCTCATTGTCACTGCGACGCTCAATGCCCTTTCTACATTGGTGCACCGACGTGCAAGTATATCGGCAAAGATCTTGACAGCAGTCCTCAGTTTCAACCCTCTCAAGCTCGTAGATGCGGGCATGAGTGGCAAGGATAAAATCTCTACAAGGAGTATGACACGAACCACAATGTCCTTCCTGCTGAATTGCCTCAAGAGGAATCCCAATGGAGCATTCGCCATTCGTATACAGCAGCACATAGAACGCTTGAAGCACAACCTTAACTCAGCATTCTCGGACACCTCAAATCTCAAACGCCCAGCTCCGGACGAACCTATCGATGGTCTCAACGATCTCAAACGCCAACGCGTTAACGCAGATATCACGAATGGTACATCGTTGCTACAACAGCAACCGAATGGTCACCAACCGTTGCCAGCTGGGCCAGTGTCCCTAGCGCAGCTCTGGACATTGACGAACAACCAAGCTGCGACAGCCTTTCACGTAGAGCGATTGCCGCCGGCAAGTGTGGCCCAGCTGGTACGAGCGCTCATGCCTGCTATATCTGATCAGAAACTCACAGCGGCCATAAATGTGGTGCGGTCCCGATGGCTGAGCTTGGACCAGCATAAGCCCGATTCAACTTTGCCAGACAGTATGGCGAGCACGAAGGATGTGGACGACGACGGCTACGACCCTGCCGCCGGTTACAGTGACCAAGTTGAGCAGTCGCCAATTAGCATCGATCACGGACCCCCGAACGAGCTCGAAAGTGATGTTGCGATGGGGCTGTTCAAGTTGCCACCGTCACTTCCTTTATCGGCTCAAGAACGGGCCGAGTATGCTGCAGCCACTGTAGCACGAGTCTTTACCATACTAAGGGACCTTGATACGGAAGTGAAGGCCAAAGGCAAACCTATGCAGACACAACACGGGTTCAATCGTCTTGCAACAGCGACAGCCATCGGGCATGACCGAGATGGGTGGATCATATTGGCAACCAGGCTAGCCACTCGGACAAACTTCGATCTCGGTGGTAGCGAAAACAAGCTGGAATCGCCGAATGGGGATCGTAGCATGGCCAAGAAGGTACCAACTTCAACCCTTGACAACGCGCTGCGAGAAGCGTTGCTCGGTTACGTGATGGAAAGCTTCCGTGCCCGAATCGATGTGGCAATCAATTGGCTAAATGAAGAGTGGTATTCTGAAAGACTTCTCCAGCGGCGGAGGCAGGAGGATGGTGAAGACGTTGAGGAGGACGACCTGCCCACCTACTGGCGATGGACGTTGCGGCTGCTCGATAACATGATGCCCCTATTCGATGTCAAAGATGGGCGAATAATTATCAGATTACTATCTGAGGTGCCGGCGGTTAACCGAGCCATCTTCGATCGGGTCAAGAAAATTGCGGAAGATCCAGAGCGGATACAGATCAGTACTAACACGCTTCTGTACCTCATCATGTTTCGTCCGCCCGTGCGACAAATGGCGATTGATTGTGCGGAAGAGATGTACAAGGAGAACAGCGGTGCCAGGTCGTCAGTGAAAAAAGTTCTGGCGAGGTGGAGACCGGGTGCGGTGGAACAAGACGCAGTTCCTACAGGAAGTGGGTGAGGCGTGAGACGGGCATGTGCTGTGTACATTTTGTAGGTCGGCTGAAGTAGACCTACCTCACCTTACCGAAGGTAAGGTAGGTAGTGATACGATAGGGTACTGGAAGGTACTGGGGAGCACAGCACACGGCAGCATCAACGCATCAGATTGGACATGGTGTACCTACACGCAATTGTTCAAATTCCAAGCGAAACAATCATGGAGTCGGGTAATCCAGATGATCCTTGTGTCCTGTCGAAGTAACGTAGCCTCATATACGTTCTGCCAAGATGAGAAGATTGGGACGTTGAAACGCATCCGATGTATTTATTTCCTGGTCCCATCTCCCGTCACTCCTGGATCCTTCGTTATTTTGCACTACATACCTTACCTACCTTACCTAGCTACCTACCTCCTACCTCACATCTACATGTAGGGAGGCTGATACACTTGATCGTCACTGCTTTCCATTGTTCTCGATGACTGGGGCTCTATCGTCCATACTCAGTAGCGCGCACGAGTCCATGCAACGCAGCCGATGCGCCAGTATTGCCGCATCTCGCGCTGCTTCAGTCCATTGATGCCATGCATGGCTCGCATCTCTCTGGCAGCTCGGACGACGCGACCAGCTCGAATGGGACAATGCCTACGCCCACGCCCAACGGCACTGCAGGCCGCGGCAGCAGTGCTCACCCTGCTCGCAATGGCACGTCGTCTCCTACGATCAACGGCAGCAGTCACCTCCAGAATGGGCCGTCATCCCCTCAATCTCCTCCGCCGACAGACACAGGTCAATGGAGCTCTGCCGTTGGCCACGCGACCACGGCTGGGAAGTCTGGCCGCGTGATTGAGAAGCTCATGGCTGACAACGACCGCTTCAAGCGCGAGCTGAAAGAGCAAATGATCAAGGCGGATGAGCTGCAGCGGAGCCTGCAAATGTTCAAGCCACGCATGGAGTCCCTGCAGGCGGAGAACGACAATCTGAGTCACGCCCGAGACGTAGACCATGGACTGCTGGCGAGACGAGAGAGAATCATACAAGAGCTGAAGTCTGATCTTGCAAGGGAGAAGCAGCGAAGCAAGGCCTTTGAGGAGATGGCTCAGAAATCTACGGCAGAAAGAGATGAGGCTGTTGAGGAGAAGCGGCGGGACGTGCAGAGCATGGCAGAACAGACGAAGCATGCTCAGCTTCACTCGGAGATACTCGAAAGCAGTCACAAGCAGTTGAGCCAGCAGTACAAAGCCCGCATTGAAGGCATCAAGACAGAAGTCAGCCAATTGCAGCTGGAGAAGGAGGAGGATCGACGGCGTTTGTCCAAAATCGACGTGGTCTCAGATCAGATGCGACAGGAATTGGAACGCACGCGGAAACTCCAAGCAGAGCTGGTGAGCAAGTGGGAAGAGCTTCAGCGCGAGAAGCAAGAGCGTTTCCAAGAACTTGAAAGAGAGACGAAGGAAGCGAACGACAAGACTCGAAAGCTCAGTGCAGAGATGGACCAAGTGGTCAAGCGCATGCGCTGGGTAATCAATGTCAAGAGCAATACCCGGATAGACAGCAGCTAGACCGGGGTCGGCACGCTGCTTGTTTGATAGCGATTTAGCGAAGGCGAGTGACGATAATGAGGCATGAATGACATGGACGCTACGATACCTTACTACCTTTGCTGATGTCTCGATCGGGGCACTGAGGCCGGACCGAGAGCTTGCTAATTGGGCTGCGGTATGGACAAAAGCCCAGCCAAGTCACGACGGGGATGGTGATTGTATCGCGCCTTGTCTACAGCTACTCTATGTCGAGATTTGGTAGACGACGAGGTATAAGGTAGCATGAGGTGTTTCAAAGGTAAGGCCGTTCATGCCGTTTGCTACATTCCCAGTAGGAGGCACCTTCCAGTACATGCGCGCGTTGTGATCATTCAGGTCGGCACGTCAGTGAAATCGCTCTCGCGAGAAACGCAGCTCCTTCCAGATTCTTTAACAAACACAGGACGCAGACACAACAACAGCAGGCACAACAGCAGACACCACATACACAGGCGCAGCACCAACAGCACCGCCTCGATAACTCATCCGCCGCCCGCCGCCATGGCAGAGCTACTGTCGCACTACTTCCATACTTCGCTGTACGCCTTCACTGAGGCCGCGAGGTCCGCCGTCATTGCCAGCTTCCGAAATGCGGTCAAAGACGATACCATCATGTGCACCTACTTGGTTGCGAGTGAGGTGTGTGATGGACAGCGTGCTCGTGTGCACGCGTATGAGCTTACCGACCGTGACAGACGTTCTACCTCTCCTGCCCGGAGACTGAAGGAGGAAAGAGCGCCGATGGCACGCTCAGCCAGATCATCGAGCAGTATATTCGCACAGAGCTCGAAGCAGCGGAACGCGAGCAGAGACAGCCGACGGTCCTACGCTTTCCTGAGAGCAGCTTCGACGACCTGGGCGCCTTCGCCAATCAGGACGACGTTGCCGCTATCCCGACTATAGCACAGCAGCCGCCCACACAGATTGCACGCACGCAGATCGTCATTGCTCCTGAGCACGGAGTCCAAACAGTCAAGCTGTTCTTCCCTGACGAGCTGCCAAGCTACGGACTGCTCGAGAGGTGTCTGGGCGCAAATCATAAATTAATGGGCGCGGGCCAAGTTTGTCGAGCGGCACGTTGGAGCAGTGTCAATGGCCATATATTCAATGGACGGACAGGGGCGAACGGGAAAAGGAACCCAAGCGCGCAAGGCGCGTTGCAGTTGCCACGCTTTGCGATCTTGCATGATCGTAGAGCAGGCATTGAGCTGGGAGAGGAGACACCACAACGATGCAAATACGAGTCCGTTCCGGGACTGACAAATGCATCGGCCGTCGACCAATGGCTTGATGAGACAGGTGAGAATCAAACAACGCCAGAAAGCAGAGCAGACATACCCGTAGATGCAGAGCAGTATCTGGCGGCTAGTCGTTCACACACACTGAGCCGCGCCCGCGTTCCCAGGGGGATGGTTGCGATCCCAGTGGACGATGCAGCAGAGGAAACAGATGGCTCAACAGAGAGCGGCAGTGAGCATGACGCTTTGAACGCTATGCTGCCCCAGATACGTTCCACGCCCAATGCAGCAAGACCCAATGCTCTGGCCATGACGAATTACAGTGGGAACTACAGTCGTTACCCCTCGTCCGCAGTACTCGAACCCAGTGCCTGCGATGAAGTAAACCAAGGACGGCATTCGCCACAACACTCTATCAATATTTCCCTGATACGCGAATCGTCGGAACAGCAAACGCCCGGCAGTGCAGTTTCCCATCAGTGGGAACATGATACCACCTCTGCGGTATATGCGAGGGTAGACCGAAACGGTCTTACTGCCGATGCGACGAGTACGGCCCAGTGGGCGAATCAGAACCGGGTGCCCATACAGAGCGGACAGCGCTCCAGAGACAAGCGAGTGGTAAGACGGGCAGCGGGTGGCGAATCTGTGTCCCAAGCCCATATGTTGAAGAGCACATGTTTAGCTTCGGAAGTGGCCAGAAAAGACGACTATGGGCGCTCAGCTGTAAATCATACGGCTTCAACGGTTGGAGCAGATCATGAAAATCTAACCCTTGTCGAAGTGAATGAAACCGAGGACGCTTGTTCGAGCAAACTCCATGCTCCCAAATCATCGACTACCGGAGCATTGATCCCTTTGCAGCAATCTGACCAAGGCTCTTCTCCGACAAAGCTGGAACCTGACTTTGGCTCCGGGCCAAGTATGCTTGGACAGTGTCTCTGGAACCCGTCGCAGGAGTTCCAGACCGGCGCCAACGCCATAGACCCCGAGGAGCTCAACGTTATCGCTTCACAGATGTGCAGGCCAAGCTTACTATCGGAGACAAGCACGCAGCCTGTGCCGCAAATCAGAAGGTCGTACGCGGCAGCGGCACTATTAGGGCGTGACTCCGCAGCGGCGCCCATTGTCGAAGAAATACAGTCGCCAAAGCCAGAGGAATCCACGAAGAAATATGACACGATGGGTCAAAGGGCAGGCTGCGGCTCAAAGGCCAAGAAAGGCAACAATAAGGTGAATCTGGGACTACCGGAGCCTTGGCCATTGCCAAAGAACAAGCCGCGGCAGCAGAACAGCGGAGAAGCTGGCCAGAGTGGGCAAATGCTGAGTGATCGCAATGCTGACAACAGAGATGGCGGTGCAAGCCCACAGCTCCCTCATTTGAAGCCTTCAACGAAGATCACCACGGAAAATCACCCTTTTGGCGAGCTGCTGCGTAGTGAAAGCCTGAAGCAGCAGGCTCAAGAGGAAGATGATGATATTGGACCAAAATGCTCCCAGCTTAAGCTAGTAGGCCAGGCAGGCGTACTGCTCCTTCGGCCTGGCGATAAGAACGAGGAGCTCAGCTTCGCTCCTCAAGATCCGATCGCGCTACAGGCTGAGCTCCGCCAAACTAGCCTGCGGACAGACTTTTTCTCCCGGGTGACAACATCAACGGAAGATGCTGCAAAGCTCGCTGATATTGCAAGTATGGGTCAATCGGGTTCAACGTCAAAAACCACACGGCCCTTTCTGGAAATTCTCATTCGAGAAAATGCCACGGGACAACTTCTGAAGGTCGTCGTGCCAGCGGGAGAGGAGGGCCCTGATAGGTCGAGATACAGCGTCAAGACACGCGAGAGAGTTCTCGCTGAAGCGTGTCTTCACTACGTCGTCCACGTTTACGATGCTCAGATATCGCTTGTGCAGCCTGGAACCAAGTACGCGATATCTCCCATGGGCGCGATCAACGACTTCATCGCCTCCATAAATAGTGATGGCGGTCCACCATCTTTCCGAATGCAAGTCCCAAGTGAAGTGTTCACAGTCCATCATGTGCTTGCAAAGCGAGTCGTTGAGATTGTTGATACCGAGAGACCAGGTATGACATTGACGCTCAGCGAAGTACAGGTCCTTGTTAAAGCACCTCTGGGCTCGCAGTCCTACAACTTGTTAGTATCCCTCTCGGCCACCACAAAGCTCCCCATGATACGAGTGAGGCAGTACTGACTTCTAGTCGTGGGCATAAGTCGAGCTTCGGCATGTTCGGCAAAGGAGATGATCGAGGCGCAAAGCTACTGGTGGGAGGTTTGTTGGGAGACGCATGATCTGAGCCGAGCCGACGAGCTGCAAGAGCGTGTCAATGATACGATCATGGAGATGGACGACATGGGAATCAACAATCGAGGAACTTCCGTTGTCTCAGAAGACTACCGCTCCGACGACGAGATCGAGGTGCCCGCACAGCCATTCTGGTAAGTTCGTAACGCCAAAAGGCGTCCGTAGGGCGAGCTGCCGGCAATGGAGGCGGGAGTAGCTTCTTGGCTCAGGCAAAAGAATACAACAGAGGTCCATATGACCACAGAACGTATACAGTGCAGCAGTGCAGAGAGAGTGTGGGTGGGTGGGTGGTTGGGTGATGGACATGGTGCGTCGCTCGCCAATTCTAGACGTGGAATAGCGTATCGAGAAATCCAGTAGCGAGATCTTTCACAATGCTCTTATCTGGGATGCTTCCTGCAACGCCATAAAGAGCGGCTGTGTCGCCCTTATTGGCGGTCACATGACCTTTACAAGATTCTACGACAATCTCGAGATCCTGGATCAATGCATCCACTGCGCTCACGATGGGGATCGTGACAGCCACGTGTATCGCGGGAGGGTCCTGCAAGGCATTGAGATGCCAGCCCTTTGCGGACATGGCATCAGCAATGTCGTAAATATCGACAGCCAGATTGGGGGTCTTGGAGTTGTTCAACGCACGAAAGGCCACGACGGAGACCATGGGCTTGCCAATGACTGCGATACTGTGCTTCAATGAGCTTTTGGTCCGAATGGCATCCTCGATCTGCTTCGCAGCTGACACGATTTGCAACGCCGTGTGCACGTAGCCATCCTCGCCTGTATTCATGAGACTAGCCCAGCAGCCAGCAATCAAAGCGCCGGGCCTGCTTCCTGCCATGTTGGGAGAAGCATAAACGCCTCCGCTCCAGTCCGGGCAGATGTAGTATTGGTATCTCCGTAGGTCGGCCGTACGGTACAGAACCACACTGTTTCCCTTGGGCGCAAAACCATATTTGTGAGTGTCGACGGATATGCTCGTAACGCCAGGCACGCGGAAATCAAAATCTGGGGAAGGAAACCCAGCTTTGGAGAGAAAGGCAATTACAAAAGAACCAAGGCAACAGTCGACGTGCAAGGGCAACTTGTGCTTAATGGCCAACCGCGAGAGGGCAGGAATATCGTCCACGATGCCGTGAGGAAAGTTTGGCGCGGAGCCAACGAGTAGGATGGTGTTGGAGTTGATCAGGCGACTGACAGAACGCGTGTGGACTTTGTAGCTCGGTTCTGGACAAGCTGCGAGATGTATCCTGATCTTGAAGTACTCGCCTGCCTTGCGGAAGGCTGGCATGGAATCAGTCATTTGTGGCATATGTGGTGGCGAGAAGCGAGCCTCGAAGAATATGAAAATACGATAGATACGTACCGGTATGTGCAGTATTTGGGAGAATCATTTCCGGCTCAGTGATGCCTCGCTCATGATACGCCTTTTGACGTGCGGCCAACACGGCCATCAGAATGCTTTCAGTGCCTCCGCTAATAAAGAACACGGGTGTTAGTGCACAAGCCGCACAGAGTTATGTCTTTTCAAGATATTTCTTGTCACTGATTGCGTGGTATCTGAGACCAACATACCTCGTGGTCACACCCGCTGCAGTGTCAGGCGAATTGAAGAGTCCCAGCGTCATTGCCACCACTTCTGCTTCCATCTTCCGAACGCCGGGAAACACATCGGGGTGAATCGGGTTGCTGACGCCGAAGCGCTTGAAGGCGTCGCTCTGTAGCTCCGCCAGCTCGCTCCCGCCGTGATACACAGCACCACTGACCCTTCCGTCTTCCCATCTGGTGTGTTCCATATCGCCCAGCCTCTCCAGCTCTGCGCGCACTTGTGCCGACGTCCAACCTTGCGCAGGCAACGTGGTGTAATTGACCACGCCGGGTCCTGAAGGGACCAGCTTGCTCTGTAGCTCAGCGATGGCTTTCTTGACATCGGCTTGCACCTTAGCCTGCACAAATGGCAGGCGCAAGAAGAGGGCGTAGAGGCGGCGGTAGATAGTGGTGTAGAGGCTCTGAATGCATCCTAGGAGGCCATAGCCGCGCAGCTGGAGGAGCGTCTTTCGTGTGAGGCGCAACACGAAGAGGGCAAAGAGGATGTTGCGGACGAGGTCGATGCCCTGGGCCAGCAGCGCTTGACGGCCCTGGGGCGTGCGCGGATGATAGTGCTTGCGCAGCTGCGGCGAGAGAAGAGCCATGGCGTGTGTGTGTGTGTGCGTGTGCGTGTGCGTGTGCGTGTGCGTGTGCGTGTGCGTGTGTGTACGTGAGTGCGTGTCTGTCTGCCTATGTCTGCAGTCAGGTGGTAGACGTGTATGGAGGATACCTGTACTACTGTCGGTAGAGGTCGACACGAAGATGAGGCGACGACACGGCGGGAAGGGTGTCGATGATGCACGTTCGGATACGGCATATGGTCGATCGACTACGGCATTGTATGACAAGGGAATGTATATCAGCGAAAGGCAGTCGACCCAGTTTCTGCCTCCAGTTCTTGGTCCCCAGGCGAGAATTGCCTTAGCACCTAATGTAGGTCAGGTAGTTCTTGTAAGCAACACGGAGAGTTTCCCTGATTTTGCGAGGTTGTCTAACAGGTAAAGGTACCTAGGTACTACCTTACTTATACAGTACTGTCTGTCACATGCAGCGCCGAGCAGCCGAGGAGTCCCCGCCCTTCCGGGTCTAGACTCGATTGGACGAAATATGTACGTAGACTGTCGCTGACTCTCACTCACTGGTGACTGAGTTGACATTACTGACAATGACATAAGGTACTGTGCAGTAAGGACCGTAAGGACCGTAAGGTACTTTTAAAGAATTGTAAAAATTCCAGGTACTTTACATGGATGTCATCTACCTAGATGACATCCATTGACAATGGCCCGGGGCAGGCCACGAGTGTTCCTGCATTATCGTGCATCGCAGGAGATTTCCCATTGCAATTCTAGGCGAACGGTAGGTACATGTTGTAGTAGGTACTGTAAGGTAAGTGCCTTTGGCAACGCATACAGTAAGGTATGGTCAAGGTCAGCACGCCTTTCCAAGCAAAACATCAGTACCTGGCAGGTAAACAGTGCAGATTGGTAGTAGGCACACGTCTTGCTACCACCGCACCACCGCATTACTTGGGCCTGCCCCTACCTCTCGCACAGTGAGTGCACAGGGACATCTCATGGCGCATCGCATTTGTTGCCCATACCAGCGACCAACAGACCAATCCAACGAAATACTGCAGCCCTGTCGACCTCCCACAACAATGGACGCGACCTTGACGCCGGGCTTTCTGCCGCAGGACCACCCGCACGGAGCGACGGGTAGAAGGTTTCTCTTGTCGCCCGTGGACTATATCATGAAGAGTCCACGCCTCGCGGACAAGATCAAACTCAAGATGAGCAAGAAGAGCACGAGGGCATTGCGGCAAGAACTCGACCAACTAGCCGAAGGCCACCACGCTCAGGACGCACGTGTGTTGACGTCCCATGAGGTCCTGAATATGACCGGCTCGGGCACCTTCGATGGGACAAGGGATGTCGAAAGCACTCCCGGTCGAGCACTCCGACGTTTTGGCACTCTGAACGACTTCCCCGACTCCGCCAGCGCTCGTCCGGTCATCAACAGTCCTTCAATCTATTCCAGATCGCCGAGTACGATGGAGGGAGAGCCCAACCGGATGATGGGCATCGCAGGAATCCACAAAGCTCCTAGTGCTTCTGATATGCATGGTTCTTTGTATCGCAGCGTTCTGCCTCGTCAGCCATCGCCCTCGGGCTCACACACCATGCAGCTTCACGACAGTAAGCACCCACAGCAGAAAAGTGAGCATTCGCGAAATTGTAGTGCCTCCACCGAAAGCACGATACAACGCAGATTAGAGCAAGTAGCTCTGGATTGCGTCGCCGATCCTGTGGCCTTGTCGAGCAGGAGCTTCTACTACACTGCCCAGCATGACAAGCAAGTCAGCAACCACATTGGCAAGACCGGATTGGGGCATAAGGAACATGAATGATATGAAGGGGAACTGGGAAATGGGCTTTCGGTCCGATAGATGGAATCATGTTGGGCCATTCTCAGCATAGTATGTATGTATGTGCACACACACGACTGGAAGTTGACATGGAGCAAATGGAAGAAAAAGGAGCGGACAGCTGCCGTAGCATGATTTTCAATAGAACTAGTGTGCAGTGTTTAGAGGTCAAGAGACAGAGGATGCTACGTAGACTAGGGAAGTGGGCACTAATATACAGGTAAGGTACCAGGTATTACACCCGCATCCCTTACGTAATCATCCTCACGTGCCGGGCGCCGGTCACGTTCTCAAGGTGTCTCCCAACATACAGGGTCTCGCTTAGGTACATCATGCCAGGAGCATGGCCATTTGCGCGCGAATGGCCAAAATCACACAACCTTGTAGCGTCCACCGACAGTGCCACCGCGAGCCTCAGCCTCCTGAGCTTGCACAGTACCCTCCATCAAGTGGCGAGACAGCTCGCGCATCGCAGATTGCACCGCGATCTCTGTGTCGCCTTCCACCAGGATGTACAGCTTTGGGGGTTCGTTGGGGCCAACCTCTTTGTCCGCGGGGTAGTATGTGCCCTTGGACGTGATGGAAGTGCCCGTGGCATCGAGGATCTTGGCGACGTTCGTGCGGTTGGTGACGGCCCAGCGCGCCTTCTGCGGGAAATCGTTGATCTCCAGGGTAGAGTGAAATGCGCCAGCGTCGGGGCCACGATTGTCGAGAGGCGCACCCGCGCGACTCGGCCGGTTGTTTTCGAGACGACCACTGATGGCCGCTGCAGCTGCAGAAGCTCTGGCAACCGGGTCGTTGGGCGCGAGAGGTTTTGCAGCAGGTATCTCCGTCTTTTGCACCTTGAGCGCATTGCTCAAATGTGCTGCCAGATCGCTGCGGATTCTCTCAGCTTGAGCCTGCACCTTCTCTGCAGACTTTTCAGCTTGCGTAGAACGTTCGGTGACCTTGCCTGCAGCCTGGGCAACAAGCCTCTCCACCTCGCTTCCCTTCTTGTCCTTCTCCTTCTTGCCATCATCCTCTTCTTCCGCATCGTCGCCAGTCTTGTACATGTTCTTCTCCCTCGCTCGCTCGGCCGCACGAGCGGCGTCAAGCCTCTCAATGCCATGTCCGCCGAAGCCAGAGCCGACCTTGCTGGCCTGACCGGCTTCGACCTTCCTTTTGTGCGAAGCCGCCATCTCTTTGAGCGTCTCGGGCACATCTTGCTTGCTGTCTTCGAGACAACGGACCAGGAAGGGAGCAAAGTGCTCCTGCTCGGGTGTTACAAAGGTGACGGCAGTGCCAGTATTGCCAGCACGACCGGTCCGACCAGCACGGTGAACGTAATCTTCGCCATGATTCGGTGAGTCGTAGTTGATGACCAGTTTCAGTTGCTTGACATCAAGGCCTCTGGCGGCCACGGATGTCGCAACCATGATGGGGACGGCACCCGCCTTGAAGTCCAAGATCGCTGCGTCGCGGTCAATTTGCTCTCGACCTCCATGCACAGACACGCTCGAATAGCCCTTCTTGTTCAGTTCTTTGAAAAGGTGGTCGGAAGTCTCTTGCCTTTCCACGAATATCAGAGATCGAGCATCTTCGTCACCTTCGTGCAAATTGCCAAGAAGCTCAAGCACACGGCGGAACTTGGTGTCTTCCGATCTGACTTCGACGATCTGGGTGATTTCTGCTGCGACCACACTGCGACCACCGACCAGGATTTCGATGGGCTTGTTCAGTGCCTTGCGTGCAAGGGATTCCATCTTCTTCGGAAACGTTGCCGAGAAGAGTACGGTTTGACGATCTGGTCGTACATTGCCCAGAACTCGTTGAATCTGTGGTTCGAATCCCATGTCAAACATGCGATCGGCCTCGTCGAGCACCACATATGTCACACGTCGCAAGTTCGTCACACGTCCTTGATTTGCGGCGAGAAGATCGATGAGGCGTCCAGGTGTGCAGACGACGACCTCGGCACCACGCTTCAGCTCCGCGATCTGATCTTTGATAGGCGCACCACCATAGGCACAAACGCCGCGCAGATTAAGTGCTTTCAAGTAAGGCTTACACTCACGGTGAATTTGTACAGCCAGTTCTCTAGTGGGAGCCATGATCAGACCAATAGGTCCTTCCAAGTTTGCCACTGGACGTTGATCTTTGATATGCCGGAACATTGGTAAGGTGAAGGCCAATGTCTTTCCAGATCCGGTCTTCGCAATGCCTATGGTATCACGGCCCGACATGATGGCCGGCAGTGCTTGAGATTGAATGGACGTGGGTGCTTCGAATTTGTTGGCCTTGATGACGTCCAGAATCTGAGCGCCGAAGCCACATTGCGACCACTTGGTGATGGGTCTAGGCTGGTCCAAGCCTCGAACGGTGATGTTGTCCAACTCGGCCCTGAGCGTCGCCACTTCTTTCTCTGTCATTTCAGCGACTTCGACAGATTCCCGGTAGAAGTTCTTTGCAAAGTCCTCGTACTCAACCTTGCTATGATCGACGGGCAGGATCTCCTTCTTGTTGCGTTTGCCACCGCCTCTCAGAAGATCTTCGGGATCGTCGCCAACGGCCACGAGACCAGGTCCGTCGTCTTCATCGAAAAGCTGTGGCTCTCGCTTGTTTGGCAGGGCATGACCGCGCGATCGAGGCTGGTCTTCCAGGGTGTTCATGAAAGCATCAAGCGGGTCAACGTCTTCGTCTACGGCCATCGCATTCAAAGCCTCCAGGGAAAGTGGAGCAGCATCACCAGAGGAATCCGCGTCCGCCATTGTGGCATCGTGTTGTTCTGCCTGTGCTTCTTCGGCACGCTTTTGAGCCGCCTCGCGGGCCGCTTCAACCTCCTCTTCATCACTGCGCAGGTCGTCATGATCATCATCTCCATGATCTTCAGCGCTGGTGCCAGTCATCGTTGAGGCTTCGAGAGCGAGGTCAGGAAGCTTCTTAAATATCCGTTGTTCGCTCTCTTCCTCGCCAAGTGCGTTTCCAGCCTTCATTGCTACCGGCTTATCACTTTGCTTGTCGTTCGCTGCTTTGTTCAAGCCGAAGCCAGTGATCTTGGCGTCAACGATGCCAGAGCCTGTAGTCGGCAGACTGATGCCTTTCGCAGCGATTGGTACGGCAGCATCAATTGCCAGAGCTGGGCCTCCACGTCGTACCCTGTCGTCTGTCTGCTTTTTCATCGCCGTAGTATCGAATCTGGTGCGAGGATTTGAGGCCGTCGGGAGGGTCTGTTGGGCCAGAGGCGGCGGCATAGCAGTGTTGGTCGCCGCCGCAACACCTTGTTCAGCTGCGGGCTGCTTGCTCTTCTTTGCTTTCCAGGCTTCGACTTTGGCCAACTTCTCGGCCTGTGCCTTCTTCATTGCATCATCAGCAGGAAGTGCATTCTTCGTGGCCTCATCATTGGCGGTTCCAGGTCGCGAGGAAGACTGCAAAGTTAGCTCTTGGGCATGAAGAGATTTCAGCTTGTGGGTACATACCTCGCTGCGTCGGGGAGAAGCTGTTCGGATGCGCTTAGGATGCCTGTCGTCGTTACCGTGCCTATCGTCGTCTTCGTATGGACGACGACGCCCAGCATGGCTCTGATCTCTCACCGAGGATGGCTGTCGCCTGTCATAATGAGGGAAATCCCGCGAGCGATCACGCTCTGTCATCTGTCCTCGACGGATATTTCCATCGCGCACTCGTCCTCGATCGTAGCCTCGATCATAGCCTCGATCTCGCCCTCTTCTGTCCCAGTCCCGGTTCCGGTCGCGGTCGCGCTCACGGTCACGGTCTCGATCACGGTCGCGCTCACGGTCGCGATCACGAGCTCGATCGCGCTCACGGTCATCGCGATAGTGCTGGATAGAAGTCAGCGAGGGTCGTCGCGTGGGGAGTCCGGAGGCAGTTACCTCTCGCTCGCGGTCACGATAGCGATCGCGGTCGTCGCGCCGGTTGTAGGTATAGTCGCCCCTGCTACGTTCTCGTGAGCGGGCCATTCGACGGCCGAAAAAGTTCGTCCGTCGTACCCGCACAGCGTCTACTTCTGCCCCGTCTAGGCCTCGTCGCACGCTCGTTACAATGTTCCCGTCCCCCAAGTTCTGCTGCTCTTTCAATCTCTGCAGCGGCCTTCGCACCGGCTGCTAGTGCTATGGTATTCTGCCCGTTGTAGGGTGTTCGAGTGCTGGTCACAGAAAGTGCCAAATTGAAGCTGTTCTGTGGTGGGGGTGTCGGACAAGTAAGTAAGGTAGTGTGGAGAGAGAGACTTTGGAAGTTAGTAGTGTGCATCATGGCGGACGGGCACTCCCGCAAGACGGACCGCGAGGACTAGGAGGTAGGAGGTATCGTACTTTCACAACCCGTATTAGGTACTGGAGACTGCCGACACCAACGTCGATTCAGTACGCGGACCATGCTGGCGGCGTTAGCCACAGATCGCTCTCTAACGTCGCTGCTCGCCTCGCCCTCAGCGCTACGCTCAAAGGTCGTCAAAGCGTGCTACGAGCCCAGCGCCACGAGCAGACCTTCGGCCGCCATATCAGCACGCCAGCGACGTCGCGCCGACATAAACAGGCATTGCTCCGGCGCCCTGAGTCTGACAGCTGCATCTTCAGCAAAACTTTCGTCGCCAACCTATATAAGGGGGCTCAGATTCCAGACCACTGCCAGCCCTGCACCACTTTCTCCGATCCAATCACCCGACGTGCGACCAGAAGCGCCCCAGCAAGCTTCACGATTACGACGGTTCGCATTTGCTTCTGCGCTTTTCTTCATCTCCTTCGTTGCAGGCGGCGCCATGGCGGCAGCACCAGTGGCAGAGGCCGTCAATGGCTTTCTCAATCCCCCTACCGACGAAGAGACGCTTTCCATTTTCGAGCCATCGACTCCCGCCGCTACAGAAATCAATGCGCGCATTGTGAATCATCCACTCGCACAAAAGCTCCGTGCCCAAGAAGGAATGACAGAGTCACGACCTCATTTGAAGATTCCACCAGCGATGCGCCCTCATAACCTTACGGGAGGAACGCTCCTTGGAGAAAATAAAATCGAGGTTCCACCTCTGACCTTCAGTGAGAAGAATGGCGAGCTGCCTACATTGGTCCAGATTTCGTATCTGGGGTCGGCGCTGTGTGGCCATCCGGGCATTGTACACGGAGGGCTACTCGCCACGATGCTGGATGAAGGTCTAGCAAGAGCATGCTTTCCGGCCCTGCCGAACAAGGTCGGAGTCACAGCAAGTTTGAAGATTGACTATCGCGTACCATGTCCAGGCAACAGCTACGTAGTGCTCAAGGCGCAGACAACAAAGGTGGAGGGACGCAAAGCCTGGGTTACGGGCTGGATCGAGCTCTTGGGCGACGACGATGGCGAGGGAACTAAGCTTGTTGAGGCAGAAGCCTTGTTCATTGAGCCGAAGCAGGCGAAGCAAATGGCAAGAGTATACAGCACACAGTAAGCATGTGACGTGACTTTTGGAAGATGGAATGGCTAGCAATGCCGTGCTTGATGAATTGAAGATGTACCCCTTTCCTGCGAGGGCGAATCTTGATCATATAGACATAGATCGAGCTTACTCGACCTCTACACGTTCCCTTCTGCTTCCGCAGCAGATTCGAATGCGGAGACTCGATGCCTGCACATAGATGTGCAGACTAAGCAGGGCATGCGTCTTGCCCTCAAATGCCCTAGAGTTCATCTGGTCTGGCGATTGCAGCCCGAGAACGCCAGCTGCATGCATTGCCCTGCCGGATCGGAAGTGCGGGCTAGAAATTCGTGCCTTCTGCTGGCTGTGGAAGCTTCTTGTTTGCAGGAGCAGCCATGTAGCGGCGTATCTCAATTAGGATGGTCTCCATGGTGAAGTCGCGCTTCCAAACACTCAAGGTAGGGAGCTTGCTAAGGTCAACCTGATCGACCGCGTAAGTTGCGGTGCTCATGCTCATGCATTCATGTTCATTCTCAGGAACTTGCCTTGCCAGTCCGCTGATCCACGCTTGGGAGATTGACTTTGCTGATGAAAGTGACTTCGGGTGGGCTGTCGGGGTAGTTGGAGCCGCAATGTATCTTGAGCGAGTAGATGCGATTCTCATGAACACTCTGTGGAGCGGATTAGCGTGAGCTTCTCGAACGGCAGCAGTGCATCTCGACTGCGACGACGTACGTGAGGTGGTCCCAGTATCGTGCCGTTCCAGTTGGTCATGAGGAGATCGTCGCCTTCGTCGAGGCCGTAAGAACAAGCCTCTAGTCGAGCATCAGCAGGCGTCCGCAGCGGCCCTGACCACTCCCTCCCCCCCCTCTTCCCCTCCCTCCCTCCCTCCTTGTGCACTCTCACCGGCGCCCAGACCCTTCTCGCCCTTCTCCAGCTCCTCCAGCAGTCGGAAGTTTCGCGGGACCTTCGCCATGGGTGCACTGGTTGCAGGATGTGTGTATGTGTAATGGCGACGACGTTGTTTGTCGCGTACGGTATTGGAAGGTAATGTAGTGGAGACGGATTATGGAAATGGACGCGCCGAGCAGTCAGATCGGGCAGTGAGTTACAGGTACCTGTGAGTGAGTGAGTGAGTGAGTGACGCCCCACTACACTACCTCAGCCTGACACTCCTGTCTCTGGCGGGGCTCAGCCTCGCTGCCTCAGGCCTCACTTCCGCTCCACCCCCAAGGCCGAGGCGACGCGACAGGACGGACCGCCCGGCGGAGCAGTCGCAGCATCTCCTCTGCGCGCCGGACATGCCTCCCGTCTGGCCCGTCACCACTCGCCCTCGCGCCGTCGATGGCTCATCTCGGGAGCCTCCGATCGTGTTTCGAACAAGTCGCCCACTCCGCCGTCCTAGACGTGCTGCTGCCCCGTCACCCGCCCGTCGACGTCGCCGCCCTCATCGCTGCGGGCACGCCGACCGAAGTGTCCCGCGTGCCCGTGCGACGCAATCTGTTCTTTGGTACCATTCCCGCCCCTCGCCATCACCACCCCTGACTCAGACCTAGAACCACTCGCACTCCAGATGAAAATGCAAACATCCTCGCTGTCCTGAAGACAGCGGCGACCGAGCGCGACCTCCGCGACATCTTGCCCCATCTCGAGCTCATCGTCGCTGCACATGCCACCGATGCTGTGCCTCAGGGCAGCGGTGCTGCCGCTTTTGCTTCGGGCAAGCATGATCTCAACACCAAAACCGTAAGCGCCGGCAGCTTCAAGGACATCGTCACCGCCCACGACCATTCCTACGTGGTCTGGGAGCCATGCTTGCATCTGTCGCGACCACCCGCCCGTTTGCAGAGGCCAGCAGTCTACTTTACCGCCAACTTGGTGCTTTCCGACCAGCAGCAGGACAGTCCTAACAAACTGAGTGCGCCCGTTCTGGCAAGTTTCGAGCCCTTGTCTGCGAACGTGCTGGAGCCACTGGACTCGGGCCGAGTGCAGGGAGCGCCGAACGTGTACATGTCAGCGTCAAAGATTACAAAAGTTGCTCCGAAGCCCTCGACCCTTTCAGATGCTGCCAAGTCGATCAGAGGCGCTACTCGACGAGCCTTTCCACTGTTGCCAGCACTCTTCACCAGAATCCGCTATTCCAACTTGCCGGGTGCGGTTGTGGCTAGTCTGCATCTGGAGCCGTCCCACATCCTATCAGGTAGCATCCGGATATTGGAGGCGGAGCTCACGGGCTCCAATGCTCACATCGAGGATCTCACGCGCATAAAACTGCCGCTCGAAGCCTGCGGCGGGGACGAGACCATTCTGTTGTACAAAATCGTCAATGACAGTGAACATCCCCGCGGGGGGAGTCAAATCTCCATCTCGATCAGAGCCGAAGTGCTTCTGAATCAGGGCTCTCAGATCGTCCTGGAGATAGACTGGCAAACTGACCTCAGTCACACCTTGCAGAGTCCGCTCTACCAATGGTCGCGCCCTGCGGCCGTGTCCTCACATCGCAAGTCACACTCCATTCTGTCCTTGGGCACACTTTCCGGGGAGCATGCACCAGCAAGGGCCGAGGTCGCATCAGGCGGAGTAACGTTCATTTTCACGAGAAAACCACTCGTGCAGGCCTCGTCCGACTTCAAACTTTTGGTGCATTGTAACAACCGGTCTTCACGACCCAGGAGATTCGGCCTGATGATTGTGCAAACTCGAAAATCGTGGCTGATCAAGCAATCTGCTCCTGCAGATGTGGCCGTGTCTGATGTGGGTGCCCGCGTGTTCTGCACGCCGCCCATGGAACGTAGCAAGCCTTCCAATGCCCTCGATCTCAATGCTGATTTGCGTATTGGGCCACTGCCGCCCGGAGCATGCTTTGAAGCTCACATGTCATTCGTCTTACTCCGACCCGGTGTGCTAGACCTGGGCACCATTCGAATCATCGACCTCGATACACGGCAGACAGTAGACGTGGAGGAGCTACTGGACATTGTCGCACCGGATACATGTACTTCAGAACATCAGGCGAGAACGAAAGTGGAAGCGATCATAGCAAGTGATAGGCCAGACTACTCGCAATAGGCAAAAATGTTGTTTGTTGCGAACGCTCGACTCCTTACATACAATCAGGTAACAGCTGGTGCCCCTGTCGTGCATGATGCGCAATATGAATGCATAAGCTTCACTTTCATCCCCCTTTTTTCATCTGTGGTCCTAGCACGTCGTCGTACACACGCTCGAGCCCATCTTCCTTGTGCTTGCCTTCAGCTTGTGGAGCACGTACATTGATGTCCTAAAATTGCACTCATACAGGCTGGCAGCTTAAGCATCCTGCCAGGAAGTGCGGAAGTTGCTTGCGACGTGCAACACTACTATCCATTGCAGTAGAATTATACTACCGGAGCTGGAGCAGCAGCAGCAGCAGTCGCCGGCTTCGCTGCATCTGCGGCTCCGGTCTTGTGCTCGCCGTCCGGAAGGTCGCCTCGACGAACCCACAAGTCGATCAAGGGTTGCATGGGCTCCGTGTCTCTCTCAGACAGGAGACCAAAGATGCGGCCAACATTGACGAAGTGCATGAAGCAGGTGTTGAGGTCGCGGTATACGTTGAGGTCCCAGAACTGCATCCAGTGTGACCAGTAAAGATGAGCGTAGCAGCGGAACATCTGCTTGTACATGTTCTTGATCTCCACTTCGAAGCGCGGTGGGAAGCCCGATGCCTTACCCAGCCAATTGTTTGGATCATTACCCGCTTGCTGTGGAAGGGGAAGAGGTGGTGCCTGCTGGAACGTTGCCGTGGGGAACACAGTCTCGTCCTGAACCTTTCCAGCTACCCAGGTCTGGATATGTTTGATGTAAGTTGCTGCTGGCAGATGAATGGGATTGCGGTTTGTGTCAATCCAGGTGTAAGTTGTGCTAAACGGACTTATCAGTGACGCTCTGAACATCTCACTACAAATCGATGCTTACCCTCCGGCTGACATAGTTGGACATGACTTCTCGTTGCAGAGGCCGACGCCATTGCTACGATCTTCCGTCTGCACGATCTTCACCATGCCGCTGAGCAGACGATTCTGTTCGACCACTACAATGGCGTCAATGTGAGTCGGTGGGTCATGCGTCTCTAAGCTTGACTTACCTTGGTGGGAAAGCCACTCGCCCTCCTCGACTAGAGCTGGTTTTGCAGCTAATGTCATGAAATTACCCTTGACGATGAATCCAATATACTCCTCGCGGAAAAACACTGGCGGTTTTCTGCCGTTTTGAACAGACTGCTGCATCGGTTCCATAGTGCTCATGGTGGCAGGTGCCCCTGAAGGCGATGGCGGTGCTTGTGCTTGTTGGGTGTTTGGTGGATAGAGTGATGGGGGACTGTTCGCGGATGGCGACGAAGTATTGGTGCGGCTTGGTTGCTGGTTGGAGCTTGGACGTGTAGGATTGGCTTGACGGCCGAAGTTACGACTATGGACATCATTGTTAGCATCGCATTCAGGCCTGGTGGGCCCTGGACAGTATTTGAGCGTTGATGGCGCGAGGTATTGTATCGATGGCGACCGGTGATGGCGATGACGAGGTCAAACCGCGAGATGCAGCGTGTATGTCGCAGTGCCTTCCCATGCTCTCTGGTTGACTCCACGGATGATAATAGGGTTCGTGCCAAGCCAGAAGTGCCAATCTCCATCATGGATATCTTTTGGGACTTTCTCACAACCTCGCCCAGTCATCAGCGTGGAAGCCTCGAGTCACTTCTTCGTCAAAATCTGACCAAATTATTGCTGATTCCACAGGGTCAGGCCAGACTCGATAATTAGGCGCCATCTGTAGACCCAGGTCCCGTCGTGTGAGATCCATGGGCCATTGAGAGAGAATTCCGCCGGGCTCCTTCTTGGCACGACGCGGACAAGATCAATCGAGGAATTTGGCGAGAGACTGTGCCGTGCAAGATTGAATGGGACGCTTTCCACATTCCCCCTGCATTTGCTTGGTGTGCGATAATCAGGCCGGACCTTCGTGTCGTCATTCGTGATTCTTGTATCGTGGACTGTGGCGTACCCCGCGTGGGCGAACGACCGAAGCTCCTCGTTGCGTTGGCTTCCCAAGTAGTAAGACGTCGAGGGCCGGCGCCCTGGGAGACTCCTGCGGCAATGCTCATGTCCAGGTCCATTCTCAGGCGGAGGAAGACGAGGAGATGCAAGATGAGGTGGTGGTGGTAATGGTGGTGGAAGTGGAGGAGAAAGTGTGATTCGTACCTGCCTTGCGAAGTCGCGCCTCTCTCTCTCTCTCCCTCTCTCTCTCTCTCTCTCTCT